GCAGGACCCCCAGAAAGCCCCACCACCCCAGCTGACCCCCTTCACCCCAGGAGGCGCCTCCATCCGCGCCCCCGGCTGCACCCCAGACACCACCGGGACCACCAGACGTCACTATCCCAACGGTCTACACGACCATGACGAACGTGCGCACAGAGTCCGTCCCTGAGCCGTCTACGCCTGCCGCGCCACCGCCGGCGGAGGTGCATTCCATCCCCACAGCGGAGACGTCCACGTGCCTGCAGACGGAGACGGAGATGGAGATGGTCACGGCCGTCTCGTCCACGTCGCATGTTGCAAGGACCTCGTCGACCTCGCTGGTCCAGTCGCATCAGACAGTTGTGGTGGCTTCTTCGTCTACTGGGAGCCCGTCTTCGTCCGGGGTTGTGTCCTCGTCTGCGTCGGTCCCTGCGTCCAGCTCCTCGCATCGTGTCGTCGTGACGGTGGTTAAGACGGCGACGGCGTCCGAGTCGACTGCAACCGCTACTAGTGTGGATCCCCACGAGCATACGCCGCAGCAGACTCCGTCCTTCTCTGGGGTGGCGCCGCAGTCGGTGCCGCGGGCGGTGGTTGCGCTTGGTGTTGCCGCGGGTATGGCGGCGGTGCTGCTGTAGGCTATGTATGATGTTGATGATTTACTGTATTTTAATTGAGCCTCCTGTCCATGCGTAGTTTATTGCTTTGGAATGATGTGATGTAATTCAATTCTTCGTCGTGGAATAACTTTGTTCTTGTGACTTTGTCTTCTGTGTCCATTATGAGTAATAACCATTCGTACTACCTACTTCGTTCCCTCTATACCTACCATTCATGCTTCACGCATGGATCGCTTGCTGCACGCGCGGATACAGATGCACCAGACGATAATACAGGTCTGGATGATCGTGCACCAACACCTGCGGGTCCCACGCCATGGCGGAGAAGATGGTTTCGATCCCGCTGCCCACCGGGGTCATGAAGATCTGACAAATCTGCAGACCGATGACAAACGCGAACGCCATGATGACCGCCGTAAAATCGCCTCCGTCGTTGTACGGCGGGTGGGTGAACTGGAGGTAGAGATACGCCAGCAGAGCGCATACGTAAGATACAAAGACTGACCCCATGGTCAGCACCGGCCCCATCAGACAGTCATTCACGAGGGCATCAACGCCCCGATCCTTCATCATGGTCCAAGTATCCCTTGCAGAGGGGATGTAGGCCTTCCCGTATAACGCAATGTGGCAGAAGGCGTAGCGATTGAAGAACGTGACGAGCCAGTCCAACAGGGAGATGAAGCAGCCGAGGACCCAGAACCCAATGCTCCCGATGAGACTGCCCTGGGCCGCTTCGTGACGTTGGGCGACCGAACATGCCTGACGCAGCATGTTGATGATGGCGATGATAAGGCTGCCGAAACTGATACTACCGAACGAGTAGGTTGTCGCACGCCGGAACGCGCCGCGAGTCGCCCCCTTCGGCATGCCGCTGGGGGAGTTGCTCCAAAAATACCAGGACCCGTAGACGCCAGCGATGGTCGTGTGCACAGTGTTCTTCACCCATTCGCTAAACCAGTACATCGCGAACGTGACATACACGACCAGCCCGATGACCCGTGCCGTGCTACATCCTCCATCGCGACAGGCCGGGTTGACGCCACTGCCGTTCGGCTCGTAGGCGACATAGATAGACACCAGCGTCACGGAGAACCACGCACTGAAGGCAACGGCCACTATGCCGCCGATCGTGCTCACCAGAAACATGTGGCCGTACTTCCGAGACACGTCGATCGAGGTCTCTAACATGAACGCGGTGAAGGGGATACGGGGAATCCAGCTGATGAAACAGACGATGGCGAACACGCCAAAGACCAGAAACACGATGCCGCCGCCGTACTGCTTCCGTGCGATGTAGTAGATACCAGTGGCCAAGGCGAAGACAATGTTGAGGATTCCGGTGACCCAGATGAAGAGTTTGGGAAAGTACCGAGCGCCTAGAAAATACGCGTAGGAGAAGGCGAGTGCCACACAGAGAACGAACATGAACAGCACGAGCGTGTTGGTATCGAGGGAGAAGGTGTTGGACGAGTCGTAGATACCGCCTCCGTTGAAGCCTTTGTACTTGGCATATCGGTGGATAGCCACTCCCGACACGGCAACGTACCCCAGGAATACAGCGATGAGCTAGAAGGTTAGTATAAGGCGAACGTATTGAGGGACAATGCCTGCCACGAGGAATCGGCCAAGCGTGGAAACTTACCAGCAGACCTGCCCAGATATCGTTGAACTTGGGCTTCTCGATCTTGAACGCATCGTCGAAGCCATAAACTGCCTGATTGTAGGTCGGCGGGGGTCCCTGTGGCGGCGGTCCTTGCGGCGGCTTTGGCTCGGGGCCTCGTTCGTAACCTGCACCGTTGTAGCCCGGCTGGCTGTCGTAGCCCGGCTGGTAGGGCGCCCCTTGTGGCTTCTGGGTAGGATTGTCGCCAAAGTCCTGGCCGGAATTGTAGTAGCTCGCAGCCTGACCACTCATGATTTCGGCCGTGTGAAGGACGATATGGTGCCGAGAGGGAAGCAGATGGATCACAAATACACAGCTCTGGAGGGTGTGTTGTACCGACAGCAGACGGTAGAACGTAGGGGAGGAGGGAGCAAGGGGCTGCGAGACAAGGTAAGGTCAGGAATTTCTCCCCGCCCCTTTCAGGAGTCTGCCTGGAGAGCGCGTCATAGTGATGGGCGAGAGCTGCGCCGACCCAGTGGTTCCTTCTCGGCAACCCAGACAGTTGGTCTTGGAACTCTCCACTTCAGCCCTACCCGACAGTCAGTGATCCCGATCATCCCAAGATAAGAATAAGAAGAATAATAGAAGATGGATTCGCTATGTACACAATAATGCTAATGCAATGCAATGAATGCAATGGCCTTTTCATGCTACGCTCTATGTACACTTCATTCCTCGACATCCCTCCCCCAGGGACCTGTCGCTGTCTTCCGCTGGAACGGGTGGGCGGCCAAGAGAGTCCAGGCAACAGGAAAATTAGAATATAGACATTAGCTAGGTCGAAGAGATGGTTGGTCCGTCCCCTGACAGGCACCATCGGCAAGGCGGAGGGGGATAAGGACATCGAAGATTCCAACAAATTGCTTTGGGTATCAAAACAAAAATATTCGTTACATATCAGAAAAGACGGCGGGGCAGCCACCGGCGCTGCTCTGTCACCGGAATGCGTGGTGTTTCATGTGCCGCCACGAATCCGCCAGACTGCGCTCAATTCCCGGGATGGGCGTGCGCGATCGGGGAGTCGTCCATTCATCCGTCGCAGCCTGAAGCTGACCCTTGCTCATGGCAATCGATCGCCGCAGCTTGTCTTGGCGGACAGCCACCCGTCGAGACGATCGCAGTTCCTCGATGCGACCTTGACCGACACGGTGTCGTCGCACAAAGCAGTCGTCCAACAGCGAGTTGGCGTCCAGCAGCTTTTTGGGGACCGTCTGGATCACTTGGAACACCTCCATCGGATCGGAAACAGCCATGATATCCCGCTCGCACGCCTTGAAAGTGGCCAGGGAGACACGAAAGAATGTCTTGGATCCCTCGTAGAAAAACACATCCCAGACACGTAGAGTGGTCTCCAATGGGAGCGTTCCAATAAAAACCGACATAAGCCAATTGGTCAGGCCAAGAGTAATGTCGGGTAGTCGGGAGTTCACGGTGAGGGGAGGAGTCTTTGTCCGACCGCCTCCTGACCCCGTGATCTTGTTATACAGATGGGGCAAGGTGTCCTTCAAGAGAACCATGAGAATCCAAAGATCGATGTTGGCGCCTTCCAGGCTGATCTCGTGCGTTCCTGGCAGGTAGACGGTTGTGATAATGTGCAGCATCCAAAAGGCCTTCTCCTCAGGAAGGAAGAGGAGGAGCATGCCGGTGATGAAGTTGAGTGATTGGGTGTATCCCACTTGAGGGTTGTGGAGGGCAAAAGCGTACAGCACGCGACGGAGCGACTGGATCATCTGGGTTTCGACAATCACCGAGCTGTGCTTCATGTTGCTGCTACCAGAGCTAGCGGCCGACTTGCTGAGTTGGTCAGCATTTTCGGGTTTGAAGTGAACGTTATCGGGGAATGTCCGGTGCAAATCGCGCTCAATGTGCTCTTTATCATCATTGGTCGGAGACTCCATCGCTTGCTGGACCAGTCGATCATACAGACCCGGATTGCGGTTGAGATGTTCGTAGCCGCCCGCATACCAGAACCACGCCGCTCCCCGGTATTCCGACGGGATGCCCTTTCGCACGAAGCGTTTCACCTTGGACGACTTGGCGGGGAAGACCGTGGGCTCAGTGGTCGGTAAGCCGTGCTCGCGCAAGAGGTCGGACCACTTGACCCTCCGATTGGCGGCAAAATCGGCGTACGTGCCACTCCAGGCTTCGTACTGCTGGATCGTGACATGGTGGCTGGCTTTCCGAAATCCATAGCGATCCCGACTGTCGGTGTCGAGAAGCAGGGGAGGAGGCACGGTGCCCGGGATGACCAGCTTGGTCTCTTCGTAGGCGATCCCAAGGCCGGGGTTTGAGGGGGCCTGTTCGAGGGAAGCATCCGTCACCAACTTTTCATCGGCCTCGGCATCGCCCAGGAATGGGCCATCCAGCTGGTTCTGGTCGGGAGGGTTCAGAGTTGAGAGGGTGGGCGGTACGGGTGGCAGGTTCTTGACAGGATCTAGGTCTGGAGAATGTTCATCGGACGTATGACCTTCGTCCAAGGTCAATGCGGTGGGTGGTCGAGGAGGGCTCAATGGCCGTAGTTTGGTGTCATCCCGCACGTCGGGAGATGCAGGTTCTTCTGTGACATCACTGAAGCCATCTAGATACATGGAAATGGCGTCTTCGACGCTCATGCCGCCATCCTTGTCGTAAGGTGCTTCGGGGGTATCGGGGGATAGGTCGGTGATGGAACTACTCTTGGTGAGGACACTGCTTCGTTCGGTTCCGCTGGCCTGCTCGATGCTGGAGCGGGATGTCATGGCAGAGTTCACGCTCGACCGCAGGGCATCCTCCCCGTGGACATCTGGGGATCCGTACGGGGTCGATCTGGGCAAGGCCAGCGCATAGTGGTCACTGGGTTGCCGTTCTTGCGAGTAATGAGCCTTTGGGGGTCTACCATTCAACCGGGAACTAGATCGAGTGGGTCGGAGCGGTGGTTGGAGGGGCGAGAGGTTGCGATGAGAGGGCCGTTCGTGATGACCGTCGAACAGAGCCTTTTTGGGAGAGCGGTCGTGGGGCTGAGCAGGAAAGGTGGGCGCGTAGCGGTAGGTCGGGCGATGCATGGTCCCATCGTCACCATAGGAAGGCTGAGGGGACGCCGAACGCAAGAAGGGATCTTCCAACGGAGGGTAGGCGGGGTGGTTTCGAGGCATTGGGGGTTGGCGATGAGGATAGGAAGGATGATGACCAGTGGCGGTGGAAGGTCGAGGAGGATGGATTCTCAGCGGATCTAAACGAGGCGGATGGGGGATTCTGCGACGAGCGGGAATGTCCAGCTCGCCTGGGGACGGCGGGTAGCGGGCGTCTCCATCTTCTAGTGTGACCATGGCCACGAGCTAGTAAGCCAGACTAGGCTGGACATTGGTTGAGGAGAGCCAAGACGGTGGTCGATTGGGAGCGATTCGAGTCCGGTGGAAGTCGAGAAGGAGCAGGGTGGAGAGGATTTCGAACTGGACGAGCCCCGGAGAGATTGACTGCAAACGAATGACAGGGTGGGAAAACGAGGAGAAGATACCCGACCAGGTGCGGGCAGACTGAAACGAACGAGTGGATGGTAGCGGTTGGCGCGTAGGGGAAAAAAAATAGAAACGGGTAAAGAGAGGAAGTAGATGCAGAAGGAGACCCGGCTGCAAGAGAGATCAATCCATCCAGGAGATCAGATCCTACCAGAGGGTCATGGAGGGGAGGGAGGAGAGGAGAGGAGGAGGACGAGGAGAGGAGAGGAGGAGAGAAGAGGAAGCAGAAGAAGAAATTAGTGTATTAGTGTACGAACGAAACTAGGACTACCGAAACTGACTCTGAAGGAAGGCGCGACTCTAGCGGGAAAAGGGGAAACAGCTCCGTTGCCCGAAAGGGTTAGTGTGGAATGTGACCCGTCTTCCATTCCTGGATTGTTATGATTTCCTCTTTCATCACTAGGGAGGAGTACATATGTACATACTCTACTCTACTCGATAGAATCTACTGTATCTAGTACTCGTACCTGAATATGATGTTGTGACAGATCCATCCCGGGTGGCGTCATATGCAATGTACCTGTATGTATGTAGGTACCTTGGAAATCTCCTATCGGCTGTTCGATCCGTGCCGTGGCAGGCCGTTAGTACCAGGGTCCTAACATTGACCCTAGTATATACTTGGTAGTGCTATACCTAGGACCTACCAGGGACTTGGAGACCAATTCTTGGACCGACCAAGTTAACTATCCGATGGAATCCTGGACATGATGTCAATGTGCAATCATCGTCGGAAACGCATCCAAGTTTCTTCCCGCGCGGGTGGACCCCTTTCAGTCGGTCGTTCGTTTCATCGGGTCGAGTCTCGCTCCACTCTCCATCCTTCCGAACAAGGGCCCGAATAGGGCATCGAGTCGAGGGTATTTCCAGTCGTTAGACGCGGTCATCACATCCAGACCTATGTATGTACTATATGTAAAGTGTAACTACGGTTGAGACATAATCTCCCTTGCGTCGCTGGCGGACACCACCTGACCCATCCACTAAGTAAAAGGCAACTGTTGTTTGTTTTGTTTTTCTCGTTATCGGGCAAGCCTCAAAGTCTATTTGATTACTCCCAATACTTTGCTTTGTGCATTCCACTACTTAGTATCTACTTCGTATCGCCACGTTCCATGGAATCGTATCCGCTAGGTGCGTATATCGGTGTCTCAAGACACCCCCATCATCAGCGGGTGTCGTTGTGTCAGAAATGCATACCTCGCTGCGCATCCTCCGTCTGGCTCATCTCCGAGGAATGACACTTCCTTGCCTCCCGCCTGGATACATGCGGAGTACAGACGGAGTACATTGACTTAGACAGCAAATCTCCCGATCAGACCCCGGCCCGGGTTGCAAGCGCCGTTTGGGATAAACAGCCACTAAATCTGCGGGTGTTCTTTATGATAGGTAATCCTTCCGAACGACTCGAGGGGCCTGAACTCCTCCACTGCTACACACATACTCAAATCAAGTTTCGAGACACAGAGCACTCTGAATCATGTTTGGAATTCTGGTGACCGTGTTCATGCCAGGGTCGTGTCGCCAGTAGGTTCAAGGTTCTATCCCTTTGTAGCATCCGAGACACCAAATTCTTCGCTTCATACAGTAGGTCCACCCCCATATCGACTATGCGACCTATATCCAAATCGACTCTTCTGCATCCCATCTGTACGGAGTAGCCTGTCCTATGGGAATTATCAATCGTTCGATACTACCGAGGACTACGGCGTAAGGGATGCCTCCACCCTGGACCGACACCGTGATGCGCACCAAATGTGACAGCCGTTCGTACTTCTGATATATATCCTACACATCACATTGCCGGCCGGTCTGAGCCCCAACCCTCCCTTCGCCCAGATAACGCCGCCCAAGCCGAATATCAATCTTCTTCTGCCGCACAAACCACGCATTGATAATCTCCCACTCCGTCGTCGGGTCGTCCAGCTCGATCTATACGGTCCAGTCAGCCACAACACCCAGCCTCCAAGCACAGCACCCACCTCATATGTCAGCAACAGCGACGGGATCAACTTATAAATCTCCAACAGACTGATATTCTTCCCAATACAGGTGCGCGGCCCCGCCCCAAATGTAAGGGTAGCCCGGAGCATATCCTGCCTGCGGGCCTGGAACGCCGCCTCTGTCTCGTCCTCACCGCGAAGCCACCGCTCCGGGACAAACGAGTCCACGTCGCTGCCGAAGACAGCATGCCGATGGATGATCCACGGGTTTATGCCAACGATCGTCCCTGGGGGGAGGAACGGCCCGTTCGGCAGCTGGAGGCCGCCCGCGGGGACGATCCGTTCCAGCAACAGGCCCACGGCGGGGTGTAGCCGGAGCGCCTCTTTAACCACCGCGTCGAGGTACGGCAGTTCCTGGCTTTGTTTCCAGGAGACGGGGAGTGTCAGCTTTCCCGTGTGCAGCGCGTCGAGCAGTTCGGCCATGAGTTTGGCCTTGACCTGCGGGGTTTTGAGCGTGTAGTACAGGATGGCGCGGAGCGAGATGGCCGTCGTGTCGGAGCCGGCGTTCATGTTGCTGACTGTGTATGAGAAGACCTGTGCGTCGGTGACAGTCTCCGGATATGTCTTCTTCGCTTCGAGGAATCGAGTGAGGAAGTCTTTCTGTTGAGAAGAGGCTGCAGACGCCTTTTCGCTCGGTTGGGAGAGACGCTCGCTCATCCGGTCACGCGCAAAGCGTGCTACCGCCGTGGTTGAGCCACCTTGGATAAGCTGTTTGAGAGGGTTCTTGACAAAGACGTAGTCCAGCCAGGGCATTTGGCCGATCTTCCATGGTCTGTTAGTCTGGTTCATCCATCAGAATGTAGGGTTTACCTTTCCGGCATAGTCGAGCGTCTTCTCCAAGGAACCGATGATACCGTCAACGTCCTTTCCGTGTTCCAGAAATCCAAGCGGTTTGCTAAATGTCAGATGCCCGATCACATCGAATGCGTCTACCCAGCGATTAGCCAAAGCCCCATATGGAGTGTACCCCCGGGTGGCTCACAGTACTGCAGCCATATCGCAATATCACAAACCTTCCGCGAAGCAACGAACTCATCCAGCTTGACGAACAAAGACCGGATGGTGCTGTCAACAAAGGGCTCAAACTCTGTCAGGGTACTCATCGAGTACGCCGATGACACGGGGCGCTTGATCGCTGCATGGAAGTCTTCATCTAGGGTTGTGAACAGCGTAGGTGTTGGTTTCCCTTTGGCGAGTTGTTGCTGGACGCGATAGAAATCTGTCTATAGACAACATAAGCGACTGAAAAAGTCAAAGGTAGTGTTACCCACCTTTCGATAGCCCTTGTTGATCCCGTAGATCGTCTTTACGACATCCGGATTCCGTACACTGACGACATTGGGCCCGAGTCGAACATAGTCGCCGTATTTCTGATGGAGCTTGTATTGGGTGATTTCCGGACGCCCACGAGCGACGTCGACAAACCGCCAGAGGTTGGAGAGTTTGGCAAGGAAGGGTCCTGGGACGGAGGATACCCCTGGTGTGAGGTAGTTCCGTGTGAGATAGTAGACGATGCTTAGAACCGTTAGGGCTAGGAGATGTTGGCTGACGAAGCCGTAGATGCTTGATAAGACCGCCATTGAGAGTACTTATAGAAGACAATCTATTGGTATTAGCAGTGCAGCTATACTATCCAGTACTTGGGCAGGTAGTGTCTTATATATATCGACCCCACAAATGCGGAGAGACAGGGTGATGAACTACGATGATGGCCATCTTTAGTGCCGTACACCAATCAACAGGTTCATTAACGCATGGCTTCACGGAATTTCTTCCGCGGGCTGGGGAAAGAAGCGGGGAACGGTGGAATGGAGGTCCATGGATGAGTTCCGACGGACGCCGAATATGGCCAAGCGTATGTTGTAGCCATAGAATATACCATGCTTAGGATAAATATATCATAGGGTTTTAATGATGTAGATTCCGCTCTACATGTGTAAGCTAATACCTAAATAGCAAGAGTGACATACAACCACCAGTCTACCCAATACCAGGGAAGCGCGCAGAGCGTGCGTCCTACACGAGACAGGCACTATCTAGCTATGGCCCGTTTCGCTCGGCACGACCACGCAATGGTCTGGAGGGAGGGTTTCGGGGGTCCAGGTCTTCAGACACGACGTCCTCTTCCGGGGAGACGGCCACTCAGGCGCTGTGGAGGATCCTCTACCGAAACATCCATAGCATGATCTTGTCATCTCACATCACTGCCCACCACCGTCTATGCCGTCGCATACTTTCTTGTCCAGTCCCGAGCGATCTCCTCATACCGTGCCCGGTCGTTCTTGTATTGCTCAGCGATGCGTCCCTCCACGGCATCGTCAGGCATGGGCTCGGCGAGCAGTTGGCGTGCGAATTGCAGCACAGCCGCAATGCGGGAACTAGGTTTCCACTCATCGGGCCGCAGCATGCCTAGGCACATGCTCCCTTTATCATCGTTGGTCACGTTGGGGTGGTAGATCTTCGTTCCGAAGGCGACGGTCGGTGGTTTAAATGGGTATTCGTTGGGGAGGTTGAGTTTCACCAGGAATTTGCCGTTCTGTAAGGTGAATTAATGTGTCAGACAGAGTCACACCTAAGCATGGCGTCGAAACGGGAGTCCTTACGGCGTATGGGGAGTTTTCGGGGCCTTCCATGTAGACCTTCCATTCGTAGAGGTTGGATTCGTTGGCTAGCTCGACGGTGATGCCAGCGGGAGGAGATTCAACAAGCTCGGCGAGCTCCTGGTGGGGATGAGCTGCGTTCTTGTCACTGGATGATGGTCTGGAGGACATACCTTGGCTATGCGCTTCTGGCTGCCCATTGTGACGATATGAAAAGAGGAGGGAGGTTGAAGAGCAAGCAACTAAAGAGAAGGAGGAAGATAAAGGAGAGTCAGGAGAAGAAAAGGAACCGGCCAAAGCAACAAACAGTCTATGAGTGGTTGGAATAGGAGCTCAGCCTGGCGGCGGCGGGGCGGATCGGGCGGGGTGGGGGAATGGTCGACGTCAGTGAGCGCTTCTACGCGATTTACCTAAGGGCACTAAGGCAGTCCAGACGCTGACTATTTACGTGCGAGCTCAGTCACTTTGACTCACCGAGTATACCTGCTCACCTATTTCAAGAATGAAGACATTCGATGTATTTTATTAGATCTACGACGAATAGAAGCTACTCTCGCTGTAACATCACCATCACCCCCATAATACCCAACAGAACACTCTTCAGCCAGGGGTGCTCACTGAGCATGATCGTCACATATCCCACCATGGGAATATATCCTCTGACGCTCCCCACAATATCTTCCTCCCGGTGGAGATAATCCTGTCCTCGCGCATACAACTCAGTGTCGTCGGCAACATTGTTGTCTCCTTTGGTGAGGAGCATGTTTGAAGGGGTCGAAGAAGCACTAGAAGAGACCATGGCATTAGTACGAACCCAGCAACGACTGCACCGCGTTTCAGGCCAAATATCAGGATCGTACATACTCGCTAATTTCCTTCACCTGCTTCGTCTTGCCTTCGATCTCGGGGTATGTACGGACGACGCGGTGCACGATCGGGATGTCCTTCCCACGGACGTTGTAGACAACAATCTCTCCGATTTCGGCTCGAGGACGGCGATTTTCGAGGAATAGAAGATCTCCGCGTTGGAACGCAGGTTCCATGCTACCTGATAATACGACCACTATGGGTGGTCCTGTCAGCGCTCTGCGCGTTGTAAGCGGGAGGCACCACTCACCGATCGGGCTGGAGCTGCCAGTGAAAACAGATAGACCCTTCCACATCATAAAGGCCGACGATAAGACCAGGGCAAAATTGAGAACCTGAGCCAGCGTTTGCCGGGCGTTCGAGATATTTGACGACAAAAACGATAGCATGATGGCGCGTTCGACCTGCGACGGTCGAGTTCGGAGGTTCGGCGGAGATGCGACGTAGACAGAGCGGAGTTGAGGAATTGTAGATTGGTATTGATATCAGGAACAAGCGACTGGAATATTTTCACTGTAGGTGGAAATGCGCCTGATAGGGAGGGCGGTTGTTGCAGAGCAGATTAAAGGGAGAGGTGGCCTTGGTGATTGTTTGCCTCGCCGAAAAGGCCATGTGGTTTCCGCTTGGCATCGGCAGATCACCCATACAAGAGGACAAGGTACATCACCACTTCACTCCTCGATACTAGCTAGGCCGTTAGTGAATCACTGTTATCATGTGAAGAATAACTTGGATCAATATCCTAAATTCTTGATTTATTTTAACACTATAGTTCATATCCATTTCTACGCCCCCTCGCGGTGGGATGTTGTCCGTCTCTTACATTGATCTCCAGGTAGTAGTTCAAAGCATACAACAGTCTATTTAGAGAGGCAAGAATACAATACTACTACATCATATGATAATGCCAATAAACGAAAGAGAAGAATGGGAAAGAAGAAACACCTGCAATAAGCATAACATGTTTAAACCCAAGATGAGATATCATGCTTGAGCTGCACCAACTTGCTTGGACTCCCAATACTTCTCCTTCTTGCCGCGCTTTGTGATCAGCCCAACCAAATCGAAGGGATCAATAAAGGTGAGCAGGAAAGGACGACGATCTTCGTATCCGGGACCTTCAATCTCGGTGACACCATCTTCCGCAAGATAGATCTTGTTCGAACGCGGTAACCACCGCATAGGAGGAAGCAAGTTAAGCAACGTGGTATTCGAGTACATAACCAGAGTTTCAAAGATCCAGAAAAACCACTCGTCCTTCAAGACAGGACTAATCTGGTCAATGTTGCTGACATTCAGGCTTGCCGCAGTGAAGTACTCGACAGTCCGATAGATCGTCCGCACGGTGATGAGGGTGCAGCTGGTAAACAGCACGTAAAGCGCATTTTTCACCTTGCGATTGAGGACACCTCCACGGGCGCAGTTATAGTAAAATCTTCCGGCCAGGGATACAAAGCCAACCATGAGCGCAATCTGTAGAATAAGCGCGGCCTTGAGAAGTGCCTTGCCGGTGTTCTGACTGGACTGGGAATTGCTGGTATTGGCAACCAATGCAGCTCCGTTCGCAGTTATGCTCTCAATCACGATGCCCATAGCAACAAACGTACTGAAGACGCGACCGGGGTGAATTGGCGAGTGGTAGGGAATGTAATAGAGTATGCGGCCCAAGATGAAAAAGTTGGCGCCTTCGTAGACTGGTCTATACAGCAGTTAGTCCTCCGATATTCTCTAGGATAGCTGTTGCAGCGTGGGGAGCATACGGCGCAGCAAGTAAGAAGACAGTGCTTGCAATGTATACGGCCAGATTATCCCACTCCCCGAAAGCCCCAACTGTCCGTAGGATAAATCCTACCGTGAACAGCAAAGCAGACCAGGGAAGCATACCGGTCACTTTCCAGGATTTGAATTTGCTACATAACAGTATCATTAGCTTCAGCTTCATCTTATCTTGGAGTGTCTTTCATACAAGCATTGATAGATATGTATAGTCCCAGATATAGTGAACAGTATTGCAAATGCAATGGGTGCACCTTTGTTGGGAGCGTAAAACCAGAAGCTTCCCTCTTCTGCGCAGAGTTAGCAAGGCTAGATATTCTACGCTCTTGCAGGACGACTTACGGTATTGTTCTCTTCTCTCAAGCATGGTTCGTATTGTCTCCGATAGACTGTGAGGCCCGTGTGCGTAACAGCAAGATAATTAAGGAAGATGAGTATTATGAATCGGTATAGATACAACCACAACTGCATGCTGATTCCAATCCATCTTGAGCCATGGAAGGCATATATATACCCAACATCGTGGTTTCGAAAAGCTGAAGAGACCTTAGCGAAAACGAGCATCCGAATTAGGGAATAAGGCAGTATCACCTGGTGGAGGGACATATGTTCCGTGGAGGAGGATCACCCAGTGGAAACACGCAACCAAAACTGCAGATTCACATGCAGACGCCTACTGAGCCAAACCTTACAGATGAAGAACACGAGTGCCCGTGATGTGCCCAGCCAACGTCTTCAGCCGTTAACCATTCCAGTCATAGTCTGGCTCCAACCGCTGGTCTAGACGGGAACAAGCGAATACGAGCAGGGCTGAGTCTCGATTATTGGCGTGGCAATGCGGCGTAGTGTAGTTGGTGGGACAGGGCGCAGCGCCTCGTATTGGAGAAACAGGAAGGAGGAGTGATATGACGGCATGATTTTTATTTGCGCGAAGCGGCTCTGTCTTCCTATGTTTCGCCTAACGATGTTGTAAGAAGTCGTAGTAGATCTACTTGGCGGCCTGGACTTTCAGGCTGCGACACCATTCCCTTTTGGGACCATGTTGCCCTGACAACATACCCTAACCAAAAGGGGATTAGACTCCCCCAGTGACCGCTCAAAGAGGCAAGTCCTCAACTTGACGGGATTGTCGTCAACTTCATCGTGGTCTACCAAGTACTCTGTCGGAGAGACATACACACCACGCAGCCATGGACCCTCCGAGACCAGCGTCCCTCTTCCAAGTCTATCTTCGCCTTCGCCCTCCCATCTCACAGAGTCAAGATCATCAACCCGAACGCTTCTTGACAGTCGAAGAGCCGGAATCGGACGGCCATGAGATAGCTGCCCCTACGCGAACTCATGTCACATTACAGCCGCCGAACGATGGAAGGAGACGGGGGATTGAAAGATTTGGCTTCACACAGGTTTTTGAAGAATCCGCTTCGCAACTGAATGTTTTCCAAGATACAGGGCTGGAGTCCCTGATAAGAGGTGTGCTTTTGGAAGGAAGAGATGGGTTAGTCGCTACGTTGGGAGTCACAGGTAGCGGAAAGGTGTGGAAAGAATTTAATTTTGTCTACGGGGAAGCTAACTGACATCGCGATGCACAGAGTCATACAATACTCGGCTCAAAGACGCAAAAAGGTATCACTCAGATGGGTCTCGATGTGATCTTCAAATCGCTCGCTTCGACAATAAGGCCCCCAGACAACACAATCACCCCGCTTTCATTGGCTTCCGTGTCAGAATCCGACCATACGGAGTCCCAGATCTTTACGGCCCAGACGTTCCTTGAGGCGGTATATGGCGATCCGGGAGCGGATCGTGGAAGGAATTCCAGAGCCCAGACCCCTATGAGCTCCTCTAGGGCCCAGACGCCGATGACGGTACGAACTCCCTCCCCGGGTAGTCCATTGCAAAGGACTCCAACACGCCCCCATACATCCCCAGGATCCCGGTTGAACCTGTTCCGTGGACCTATCCCTCTGCTGCTGCCATCTGCCCACTATTCTCCCCTCGCGCGGCAAACGCAAGATATTGGTCCCCAGGTCGGCCTCCAACATCGACCCAGACGAGAATGTCCTGCTCCTACAGCATCATCCACCCAACCCCTTTATGAATGGCATTGTGCTAAATCGCAAACCCAAACTTTAAAGGAACCGACCCCAGCCATTGTATTTCCCCGTCGTCCCATGCCCCAACGGCCCAGCGCATTGCCACGATCTCCCGATGTCAGTCACTTGACCGTCGAATTGAATCCCAACTCGGAGTATATCGTCCTCGTTTCGATGTATGAGGTGTACAACGACAGAATCTTCGACCTGCTCTCTCCTGCGATTGCGCCTGGACAAGGAAGTACCATGTCGCGACAAGGAAACGCACAAAAGGACCGAAGGCGTCCCCTGTTTTTCAAGTCTACAGAGGGATCCCCAGACCGAAAGGTTGTTGCTGGCTTGCGTAAGATCGCGTGTGCTACCTACGAAGAGGCGCTTGCCATCCTCGATATCGGACTTACTGAACGAAAGGTGACGGGAACTGGCGCCAACAGTGTTAGTTCCCGTAGCCACGGGTTCTTTTGCCTTGAAGTGAAGCGGAGAATGCGGAACAAGAGGACAGGCGATGAGACCTGGATAGGAAACACCTTGACAGTTGCAGATCTAGCAGGTAAGTCGGCTAATCCTCTCTGCCTGGGGTAATATTTGATTGACGGTTTCTAGGCTCGGAACGAGCAAGAACAGCCAAGACAGCCGGGTCTACTCTGGCGGAGGCCGGCAAAATCAACGAGAGCTTAATGTATCTGGGCCAGTGCCTGCAGATGCAGAGTGACATACAAGATGGTAACAAGGTATGTCTACCTTTACACTAGAGCGAGCTTTTTTCGGCACCTTTCCTAACAAAAACAGACGGCCATGGTACCATTTAGGCAGTGCAAACTCACTGAGCTCCTATTTTCCAATTCTTTCCCGTCTTCAAACCACGGTTCAGGCCATAACCGTCACCCCCAGAAGGCCATTATGATTGTTACTGCCGACCCCCTGGGAGATTACAATGCGACTTCCCAGATTCTGCGCTACTCTGCACTAGCTCGTGAGGTTACCGTGCCTCGAGTAGCCTCTGCGTCCGAGTCTTCAGTGTATTCTAGCTCTCTTGGGTCTCTCCGTGCCCCGGGCAGTGGGCGAAACTCCCCTAACATAGCCTTGAGCGAGGAATTGGAGCAGGCATTAGCCGAGATCGAGAGACTGACGAGTGAAAATGAGAAACTCTCGGTGAGACTCGCTGAGGAGGAGATCGTCAGAACGGAACTGGACATGAGACTTAAAGCCAGTGAGGAAAGATGTCTCGTGATCGAACAGGAAGTCCGTGAGGAATGCTGGGCCGAGATGGATGAACGCATGGAAGAGGAGAAGAAGAAATGGCAAGCTGCGTTGGATGAGCAGGTAAAGATCAAATACAGTCTTGCGTTGTGGGTATTTGAGCTAACCGAATTAGGCCTGTCATAACGATGAACATATGGACAGGAAAATCGAGCTGCTATCTCGAGGCTTCGAGAGTAAGTCCTGTCTATAAGTTGTGAACTTATGTGTAAGCTGACTCGGCATTTCAGTCCACGAAGACCCCGAACCCTCTCGCGATGAGAGGATTGAAGACCTTGAATTCGAGAACGATCAGCTCCGGAGCAAAATAGCAGCATTGGAACGAGAACTCACGTGCCGGTCTCCTACGAAGAAATCCAAATCGAAGAATACACTCGAACCATCGCGCAACTCGAACATCTTAGGGCGTGAAAGCGACATCGAGGTGGCCTTGCGCAAGATGGACCAGCTGAAATTGGCTGAAAGCTTGTCTTCCCCTTCTCCTGTCCCATCCCCTGGCAAGAAGAAGAAAATGACCACGAGGAAGTGGGATCTGGCTCCAGAGGAGGATATTTAATGCTTAATGCTATGTACAATAATGACATGATTATTACCTGTTGAGGATACTAGGCTGGTTACCGGGCAATGGTCACATTTCCTTGAGACAGACTTTCCATTTACGCATTAGAAGATATTCAAACTATCTTTTCAGCCAGTAAAGGAACTCGGGAGGCTAGACCATCGAGAATGAGAGCCCCTGCAAAGGTACAGATATTTATCTCATTGGGACTTGTACTATCATGTTCAAGCGTCCATGTACGCGTCCTGGACGGCGTCAGACATCCGCAAACCATGGGTGTTCCAATACATCACGGGCAGTAAGTCGTTTCGCCGGATCCAAGTTCATAACTCCTTTGATAAGCTCCCTGAAGGCCGAATCAACCACATCTGGCCACTCAGCAAAGGGTTTGTAAGGTATGTGTTCGTCTGTCCTTTCTTCCCATAGCATTCTCAAAACCTGGCCGTTTGTTTCATCATCAGTGATGTACCTTAACAGGCCATTGATTCCTTGCTGATCGCCGAAGTATGAGACCTGGCGCTGTAGGCGTATTAAAGCGGGCAATGCACCCCGCCCTTGATGTAGCCGGAAATCATCATCTGGGCCAAAAGATAATACGCCCGAGAAAAGCATATATGCACTGATATCGTTAGGGTTGCATCGAAAATGAGAAGACGTACTCACAACCGTCCCAAAGGCGAACATGTCTGTCGGCTGGTTAAGTTTGCCCCTAAAGTGCGCTTCTGGACTACGCCAGTTGTCGTTGCCAGCAAGCATGCCCTTGATACATCTACCTTTAGGGAGATATGCGGCGTTTTCAAGATCAGTAAGCCGTACATCTTCGATAATTGTCTCTTCGCCTCTATACTGGTAGTTAACCATGATATTGTCTGGCTTGATATCTGACTCCTGTCAGTACGTGCAGCTCAATTAATCTGGGTACTGAGCCGGTTAGATATTACCAAGGTGGACAATTTGCTGTTCATGCAGTGAAGCAATACCCAGCACGGTTGATTTGAGAATCTGTTTCCGAGCTCGCATTGAGATACCTCGCTTCACAAGGCTTAGAAAATCATCAGTCATATACTTGTATACAAATATACGCTGACCCGGAATAGTGTCGCATGGCAGTCGTAGGTAGGGACTTTGGCGCAATCGTGGCCTGATATTCTCGTTAAAGTTATCGAAGATACCTCTAGGAATGTCCTTTAGGACAAAGGTATGCTGTCCAGACCTTGATACTATTAGCGACGATTTGCAGCAAGGAGGACTTTCGGGCCAGACATCGCCAACCACACACGGCCCACGTATGGCCTTTCCTGTATAATGTGTTTCAACCGATAAAGAGATCCAGTGGCACCAACGTAATCATTAGACGGTCGAGCCATTCTCGGCAGTGTCTTTCGGAACATGATGGTTAAGGTAGTCAGGAAATCGCCCGCAACCCTGCTCATAAGAAGTTAGGTCTATGGCTAAAGAAGGGACGTGCTCTATCCCTTCTGACCACTGTGGCACTGTCTACAAATTTGTGCAGCCTGAGGCTCTCAGGTTGCTGTTTTAGGCCTAGCACCTCCCAGCTTTGCTTCTATAAGAGTCATCGCCTCAGTGACTCCAACACTGTCTAGATCATCAATCTCATTCTCCTTCTTCCTGATCCTTCTTGACATCCCGCCCACCCTCCTTATTTCTGTACCCTTTCTTCCGTATAGATATGGATCGCCCAACAACGCTACACCCATTAGTCAACAAGGGAGCCCTAGACTACGAGCTCTGTGCAAACCTCCACAATGCCATCTGGAAGTTAGCCTGGGCAGGGACCGCACCAGATACATGTCCTTATCCTCCACCAACCTGGTGGGAGCACTTCAACCCACCGGACACCATCGCTTCGCGGCTGAATCCGGACCTGATCGAGTTCTTCAAACGTGCATACTACTATCCTGACGTAGCGGGTTTCTTCTATTTCCTCAACGCTTTGGTCCCTTGTGACCGATTACTCGACGACAGTTGGTTAAAAGACCTAGGGACCGACCGCTTAATGTTTCTTCACTATGCAACCAACTTCAAATGCGGCGATGAACTAGGTCTAGTGTAAGCAGCCATTCCAATCTGATCCCATTCTTCGAAAACACAGCTAACGTTAGATGACCATGGCAGCTATGACCAGATCAAGGCGAAAGCGGCATTTGTGCCTCTCTTTGACCACGTCAGTCCGGTCTGTGAAAATAACTATGGCTGGGTGCCTTTGGAATACGTCTATAGTGCGTACCTGGAGATGGTCCAGGAAGGCAAAGTAGAGGTCTTATCACCGAACGGAAAATGGAGTCGGCAATCCACACATGATGACTTTGGTCCATTCCGTCTATATGACTACACCACGAAGGATGTGGATAAGAGTGTCTGCGCCTTGAAGAGATTGCTGGATAGTATCGACGCTCGCCGTTCGATGAGTGACTCGGATGCTGAAGACACAGACGAGGCCATTCTCCCTTGGGGTGATCCCTCTACCTTGGATGCACCGGATCTCCGACCTGGTACATTCGCCAGAGACTTCTGCTCCCAGAGTGCCCAGCTATCCCCCGTGAAATTCCGTTATATTGCCCCGGGGATTCGAATGCAAAGCCCCCAGGAGCTGACTTCATCCCTTCTACATTTCGCTCCTGGAACGCCGCACCTGTTACCACCGCCTCTATTGCTGTTCCGAGCGGATTATCCATCTTCCTCCCATCTTTCACCCCGTGTTGAACATGCAACAAATATATTCTCCAAATGCCTTGGCTACCCAGCCATCCCTCCGGGTCTCTACCTTTCTCACCTTGATGGACTCAATTCCGTCTTCGGTAATGGCTGCCGCCTGGTATTACCGTTCGGAATTGGTGCCGCAGGCTGGGCCCGATTGAGTGACCACGAGGGAATGGATGTTCAGGACTGGTCCGATGATCCACAGCCCCGAGATGTCTGTGATGATTTATATCAGAGCGGGTATACTGGCTGCTCCCCGCATCGGGAGGTCCAGTTGCATAAGGTCTTGAACAGCTGGGCGGATCGGGTTGAGGCCGGGGATTGGGAGATCGGAAGGGATGGAGTATGCGGAGGGATTGAGAAGTTTAAGGAGGCTGATACACCGGAGGGATGGAAGAAATACTGGCTTCCACCGAGTTGGTGATTATGTGAAGGAGTCCCACTTGGCACGGCGAAGTTGGATTAGCCGAGGTCCATTGCTCTCCGCATTTCTCTCCCTTGGATCAACAATATCATCTATCGGACATCCAATGTCGACACCTCCAACGACCCTCCTGGCCATCGAGCCTTTGGACCTCTTTGATAAGCTCTCTCTTGCCTGGCGTATTCCGTTGCTGGGTAGGTCCCACGTCCGTCTACTCGCCTGCGGCATTCTGACGCCGTCGTAGTTGTCCGCTGCACCGCCTATTTCGCGTCAAAATGCATAACGCATCGTGAAGTTTCTACGCTTCACTGGCGCCAGAAGCTTGCCCTCGCCTACCTGCAGGCGTCTCGAGCCACTTTCACGGAGAAGCAACAGGCCCGCTCCCGCGCGCCGTTGACAGGCCCCAGGATCCGAGAATACTGTCGACGACAAAACTTGGACCATCGAACCGTCTGTTTGGATGGCGCTGGTCTTAACAGTGAGCGCGATATCCCACCCCCGGTGCTGCATTTCGTAACAGCTCCCACACCACAATCCGATGGGCCCACCATATTTTACTCCCACGGCGGTGGATACCACAATCCCATCCGCGCCGGGGGACATATACCATTCGTGATGCGCTGCGCGTCTGCATGCAAAGCGAAGCAGGTCGTCTTCTTGGAGTATTCCCTCAGCCCCGAGCATCAGTACCCTTGCCAACTGATCCAAGCGGTGGCCGGTCTCCGGTTTCTCATTGATGAAGAGTGCATCCAAGCGAAAGACATCATCCTCGGCGGCGATAGCGCCGGCGGACATTTAACCGCGAGTCTGTTGACTCACATTAGCTGTCCCTCCCCATACACCGCGCCAATTGACCTTGGCGGGAGTCAATTCAACGCTGTCTTTTTCGTCTCGCCGTGGGTGACATTGCCCACAGGGGCGCGGACGGGCGTTTTCCCGCACGGGGAGCACGATTATCTAACCCCCAAACAGGTCGTTGAATTCACCAAGATGTTCAATCCTGCGTTGAACGAAGTATGGGGCCACCCATGCGAGTCCGAGGATGCGGGAGCCGTGTGGAAACGGCTCTTTCCTGGTGGAAACCAGCATGCAATCTGTCGCAAAGCGATTGTAGCCGTCGGGACATCGGAAATTCTGTTGAATTCTTGTGTGGATTTTGGACGAACCTTTGTGGGGTGCGAGGGGATTCGCGTCGATAGCGAAGCAGATCTGGACCTGATCAAGGAACAGGATTTTGTTCTTGCTATAGCCCCTGGCGAGACACATGTTCAACCTGCGTTAGACTCCGCTTTAAAGTACTACGATGGATGTATGATGAAGGCCATTCTGGCTTTCCTAGAGAATTGTTAGAAGGGTCTGTTGTGGTTCGGGCGGCTGAAAATGCTAAATACCAGATAGAGAAATTAAACACTTCCTCCGGATGATGACTATAATCTAATCGTTAAAGCTGCTCTTGACTTGAGGAATTTTCAGTTGTCACTCGAGGATCTCTTCGTCAATCTCCTTTTCGGGCTCGAAGGGTACGGCGAGAGGTAGCCTCATGTGTAATTGAAAGGATTGCGCAGGTCCAGCCTGATTGAACAGGTATACCGAGTAGGTGGCTTTAAGCTGGCGGACGTGAATGTCCCCTGATGTGTTGAGAAACATACTTGCAGGGTTCGTTGGCGGGCTCCGAATTAGGAAAGCCGAGAGGGTGTTATGCACAAGCCTATCCCGGTTATCATTGGAACCAAGCCTCAAACAATGATTGTAGGGGCCAGGAACGGGTGCTGTAATTGATACAAGCCCATGGGCTCTCAATTTCACTTTCAATAGAGGCAATATCCATCAGGTCAACCGAATCTTAGCATGTGATGACTTGACTTGGGGGAATTGGTGTCTTTTACAGAGACTCTATCTGCAGTTACCAGGACTTTCTCCCTGGTTTCATCGCCGATGAACGATTACCCCCAAGAAACTTGAGACTGAAGCTTGTTATAGAGAGCCTGGACTGTTGACTTCAAGTTACCGTAAGATACTTAAGGTGGAATCCTTCCAATAGGGCTTATCTACTAGGAACGATGTAACGGTGATGACTCTGGACGATGTCCACTATGCCCTTGGCGCAGGGGACGTTGTCTTGGTGCTTATCATCTCACATAACGATGTAACAGAAAACCACCTGACTCGTCATAATAGTTCCAGTATTGCTCTAGTCCTGATTGAGCATACCATCTTGGATTCATGCTAATAAGTAGCTGCCCTAGGGCTAAACTCTGATATGATCCTTTGTACTGAAACCCTTCTCGACCACATCGATGAAATGGAGTTTATAGAGTTACGATTCGCTCACTTTAATGATGTCGTAGGTACCATCAGTAGAGTTCTGTACTCTCGTACTGACGATCTATAGTATCATGTGCCGACAGCGGAGTTACTTTCGCGCTTTATGCAGTTGAGATCCTCCTTTATAGAGGACAAGGGCTTGACTATCTTCAGCGGGGACGCCTTTTCTCCCTCTCTCGAGGCAAGTATCCTCAAGGGCGAACATATGGGACCCCTTCTGGACTTTGTTGGTGTCGATATTGCTTGTTACGGGAACCATGGTCAGACGTCAATTTTCCACTCCGGCGACATCCCAATGGCTGATTATTGAATAGATTTTGATTTTGGAGACGCACGGCTCATCGAACTGTCGAAGCAAGTTCGTTCCCTTGGGTGCTTTCCAATGCATGGCATTTGCCTGTGGAAGGGAAGGGCGATTCCAACAAGCGTCTACTCGGCTGTGCCGAACCCTACACCATCAGGAACGTCGATGGGTGTCGAGTTGGATTCTTCGGGTTGGCCGGAACGTATGCACACAAAGAGAATATATCTAAGTCCCGTACTAGAAGATTGACAGTGGCGACAGAGATTGGTCGTCCAATTGCGAAAAGTTGCCGCGCTCACATATTGAAACACCGGCGAAAACGGCTCGACGAGTGGCATACCACCTCCGTGTTCTGGAACAGTGCGACGTGGTCATTGCGTTGACTCACATGCGTCTTGCAGAAGATATGGAAGTTGCAGAAGCGACACGAACGGGCCAAAGTAGGGTTGATTTGCTTTTGGGTGGTCATGACCATGAAGTTGTTCGACGGTTCGGTGGTGATACGAATACAGACCCAGCAACGATTGAGCAGAGCCACAATAACGAGGATATTAGGACTGACGGTTTCATCCGTGACGCCCAGGGTGATATTCGGATTATCAAAAGTGGCACGGACTGGAGAGGCTTGTCACTCGTACGGATGATGGTAGAAAAAGATGAGAAGGGGAGTATGAACGTCTCTTCAGTCGAAGGTGAGTATCTCAGTCGATAGACCATCTGTTTGCCCTAACCTATTCAGTGAGGCAGTGGAGCAATATTGAGGGCGCAGCTTCGCTCGTCTCGATTCCAACCTCCGGAATCAGCGCGCTGTTGGACTCCATTCACAGTCGTGTGGACGCTCTGGTCCAGAAACCCCTGTTGCACTCAGGCACCTCGCTTGATGGCCGTGGCTCAGTCGTTCGCAGTGAAGAGACAAATCTAGGCAATATGTTAGCGAATGCGGTTCGGGCTTTCTATGATACAGACATCGCCTTCTTCAACAGTGGGTCGATTCGCTGCGATCAAGTCCTTGGTCCAACAATCCCGAACGGTTCGCCGTTGTTAGTCAAGGACATCATCAGTAGGTCATGCTCCCTACAAAACTCTGGAGATGAACAAAGAACTTCAGCTGACGAGCAGACGTCTGTCCATTCGAGAACCCTCTGCTGGTCAAAAGAATCAGCGGTGGAATCCTACTGCACGCCATGGAAAACTCAATCGACGATATGCATCTGGACGGACGCTTCCTCCAGATAGCCGGTCTACGCCTGGTGGCCACCTGGGGACGAAAGTCGGGACATCGCGTCTTAGAGATGTTCCTCGACCGGCCTGGTACACTGCCGCAGAAGATTGAACCTTCTCGCACGTATACTGTTGCCATGCCCAAGTTTATCGCAGACGGGTTTGACGGGTATACCTTGCTTCCGGCAGAACAGAAGATCGTCGATGAGGAGACGGCAATTACTGATACCGGTCTCATGCTACGAATCTTCGGACATGGACCTGAGTCGGAATGTGACGATCACGCTATGGGCATCCAGCGAGCTCAGGCGGTCACCATCGTTGGTAGAGCTTCGGATGGTTTGCCCATTGTGAATCCTGCGGTCGATGGTAGAATCCGGTTCCTTGAGGTCATTCCTAGTCCCTCGCTTTCGCTGAGCTGCAGCTGGTGAGATGTGGGAATCTGCTCTCTCATTTAGGCTTAAAAGGTTTCCAAACTTGGATAGCCGCAGGACAACCGGTATAGTCAGACTGATACACCACTCCTACTTCTTGTTTTCTGGTGGCTAGAAGGGCCATACACTCAATGATGTACTAGACAAGCCGTAGCACGGCTCAGTGAGATGATTAATTCGGGTTGAATAGTATAAAAGACATTGCACCTGCCGTCCTAAAGGACGCCCAACGCCAGTAATTATATCTCGAGCCGCAAACCAGACGCCAGCCTATATAGATCCAGTCATGCATCACCTCACTTGATGTCCATCCGATCGACATCCGACGAGCCTCTGTCGTCTTTCTCGAGGGCAGTTGGTTCGGCCTGCTCAGGCTCGTCATCGTCCCCCTCTTGGACGCCTTCCGTATCCCCGCCATCGTTCTCTTCTCCGTCCCCTTCTTCTTCCCCTTCCTGTTCGCCTTGTTCTTCCACACCTTCCTCTCCACCGGCCTCATTCTCCTCGTCTCCATCCTCTCCCTCCATCTCGACATCATCTCCATCACCGACTTCGTCGCCGTCTTCTCCCTCCCCATCACCAAGGGCAGTATCCCCTTCGTTATCAACGTCCTCATGGACCTCAACCGCCATCTCGTTGGCTCCATCCCCATCGGCCTGGCCGGACATTTCCGAGTCCGGTTCCATAGACCCTCCTCGATTCTGCAAATTGGAGAATAGCGTCTTGCGCTCCGAAGCCAGTTTGGACAGTTTCTCATCGTCCATCTCGCTCAGCTCGCTTTCATCGTCGGCACTATCATGCACGCTGTTCGGGACATCGCTGTGCTGCCCTGAGCCGGCCTCCTCTGCAGCACCATCGGTCCGCGGAGGAGCTTCTTTCGTCGGCCGAGGAGCGGACGTCACTGATACGGACACAGACACCTCCGGTCCTTGAGTGGGCTCAGTCTCCACAGGCGCCGGCGCCTTCGCCGCCGGGGCACGCGGTCCAAGCTTGCGGTTGACGATCGTCTCCGCTCTTTTCTGGATATCTCGTCGTGCAATGCCCTTTGTGCGGCCGCGCGGGGCCGGGGCTTCGGAGGCCGGTGCTGAGGTGGGGGGCGTAGGTGTTTCGCCGGCACCGTCGCTAGCCATCAGAAGGTGGTCGACCTTCATCTTTTCCTTGTTTTCCTCATTAGCCTGCTCCAGTACCTGGGGCATGTTGACTTCGTAGAGGCGCGAGTAGAGGTCGGCGATGAGGTCTTCCAACAGCGAGACCTTCATGAGGTTGTTGTTGAGCTTCTTCAGCTCGACAGCATCCCGGAGGAGTTCTAGGAGCGCTTGACTTTCAGGGGCCAGTTGGGAGAGCCCTTCGAGGCGGGCAGTGTTCGCAACGAATTCTTCCCATCCGATAGGGCGAAACACACCCTCTTCGTGGCCTTCATTGATATGTCCTGCTCGTCGGATGACCCTGGCGTACGTGAGGCACACGTCTTCCCATAGTTTTGTGTGGTTGATGAAGTCGCCTTGCTTTTTCCGGACTCGGCGAAGTAGTTGTTCGAGGTTCGCGCGGTCATCGAGTTGCTCAAGTAACGCCACGAAGAAGTACACGTATCTTGTAGTGTATACGAAGTGTCGTCCGGGACGTTCGTACTCCGGTCTCCACACCTGGATCGTCATTGTTTTGGTGAATATCTGGTGAGTAAGCTCGTTCTTGGCTCCTGAAGCTGCAACTGCATCCTTGCTGTCATCGTATATCACGTGCGCAGACTGAAGAGGTAAGCGATTGTTGGCAGGATCAGATAGGAAGAGTTCACTTACACGAACAGCCATACGATGATGCCAGTTCGACTTGTCGGCATTCTTCAGATTACGAAGAACCGCCAGAATGTATGACTTCCAGCCTGAATTGTCTTCGGGCGGCTGCACCTTGCGAGCCCAAGGAGTTGCCATTAACGTCTTGCTGGCGTCGGCCGGCTGCAGTGCAATGTCAGCTTCTCTTCACGTGTAACCGATGCTAGTCTCTTACCGTCAATGCTCCTCTAGTTACCAGTTTATGAACGATAGACACCAGTTTGAAATGAGGCTCAAAGATGGGATCGGACCTTGAGTCTTTCTTTTGCGGAAGTGCGTCAATGGCATCCAACAGGCAATCAAGAAGATCATCAAGATGGACTGCCTTTGCACCGCCTCTCACAGACTCATCGCAGCTAAACATCTTCCAGAGACATTTGCTTCGCATGTAATGAGTCCTATTCTTGTTAGTTGCTGCCACCAAATCTCACATAGCAATTCCAAACTTACATCCAATTCTTGGGCTTGTCAACAGTCGCGTGTCTCAGAAGGAAGCTTGGCAAGGCTCCAGACCGAGTACAGTCTCATCTCTTTGAATGGCTGCGCTTCATACATTTGCTTGTTCTCCTCGCTGTTGTAATGACGGGTAAAGTCTGCAAGACTGAAGGCTGCCATAGACAGAGGCTCGCGAGAAGAGGAGTACAGGCGGATCCCAAAATCAGTAAAGAGATCGGCCAGCATCATCCGCGTATCCTGTGTCGGCTCGCCATATCGAATGGCTGTTGAAATGGCCATAGCATAACAGTGTATGGCATTTCGCTGCCAGGTCACCAAGTCGGTCTTGTTACTGTTGATCTTATCCGCAGACCAGGTGATATCCTCCTCTAGCTTCGTATCGTACGTCTGTGCAAGGCGATACCAAGACTCCCACCTGGTGGTCCCGTGGTCGATGTCCTGTCTAAACCAAGAAATTGCCTCGTCAAGGTCAGTCGTAGGCACGGGGTTCAGTCGTTTTTGAGATCGAAATTTCGTGAGTGCAGCATGACCCAGTAAGAAGTACCATCCCTTTTGGGCGATTTCTGCGCTTTCTGTCGGCACAGGAATTAACGGGAGATCTTCCACTCCCCGTATGGCACGGAAGAGCTCTGTTGGATTAATTGGGGATTTCAAGTAAGCATTGACGATTCGCTTGTTATACGAATACGGCGGTGACGACTTTGTAATGCCAATTGCCTGTTGCATTTTATCAATCGTGCTCTTCAATTCTGACTTGGACAAGTCCTTGATGTTCAGTTTCTTGGCCTGTCGCAAAACAAAGTCGATCATCATGGTTGCAGTAGCGCGATCGAGCTTCTCTGGAGGACACCCATGATCTATCACCAGTCCATCAACTGGAGATAGCTTTATGCCATGAAGATCAAAGAGAATCTGACAGACATCTAATTCAATATCCTCAGTCAAATCCGATGCCGTGAGTTCCGATTTCATGAGCTTCAAGAACTGCTTTTGAGACCGCTTGCACATTTCGCGTATCCCTAGGGCATTATGGACAGAGCGGAGGTAATGGATGCAATCGTCGAGGGGCGTATCGAAGATTTCCTTGTTTTGCGAGACAGCTTCTTTCAAGAGGGTGTACTGTAGAATCCAGCAACGAACATGCATCTCTCGCAGTCTATCCCTAAACTTTTCGGCCGATTTTGCTAAGGAACCCCGTAGTTCTGGGCCGGAAATTTGCCCAACACGAATCGAGTCTTCATACATCACAAAGCTGTGGAGCAGCCTCGTCAGCTGAGCCACTGCCGACATGGATGCCTTGAGATGGTCCATATCAAAGCATTCATAAGCCTTGCGTGGATCGTTCAGAACGGTCGTGACCGTTTTTGCTAGAACCCCATCAAGAGACTTCAGCCACCGAAGAAGCGTAATTTGCCGGTGCTCGCTAGGCTCTTCTAGATGGGCTGGGCTTGAGATCTCTTTAAGAATAATCTCGATGCTGCGCAGATAGCACGAAACGACCTTTGGGGGGTAGTCAATCTTTGCATAAGCGTCCTGTAGGCGTTTCCATAGGAATAACCGAAGTGTAGCATCCCCACTGTCCAAGAACGATCCCATCTCCCTAATTTGTGACGTTGATTGAGCGATTTCTGAGTCATCTGCCGTCTGGTCTCCATCAAACTGAACAGACGAGGGTTCCAGAATGGGCTCAATAGTCTCGATGAGGCTCACAGGGTCTTCCGAATCAGGATTGAAGATCCTCATGAAGAAGTCCATTGATTTCAGCTTTGATATCTCCTGATCCACGGCCCCAGTCGATATTTCCTGCATGATAGCATTGTTCACTAGGTTGATGACAGGGTCCTTGAGGCGATGAAGGAGACGCTTAAGCTCGTGCAGACTTAGCAATACATGTTCTGGCTGAGCATCACTCGTCATATTTGAATAGAACGTCGACGCCCAGATGTGACGGATAGTTATGTTTTCAAGGTCGGCTCCTGCAGCGGTGTGGTCCATGTAGTGAGTTAACGCAGTCCGCGCCAGCATACACCATCTCGCCACGCGGTCTCTCTGTAATGCTCTTGTTTCTTGATCCACCTCACTGTTCGGGTTGTTCATGGAGGCGTAAATATCGAGGTGGAGCTCAAATAAAGTCTGCGACATCTCCAGGTCCGCAAAGTCCTGCAAGGTGTACTCAAACGGGCTTTCCTGATCTCGGCAGAGCAGCCGGCGTTCGAGACATTCAAGCTGTTCGCACAATCGCTTATAGATGTACTCATCGTCTGCTAGTGCCACTTGGACAACAGCCTCTTTTAACGCGTCTGGCCATTGATATAGCACATATGTCGATGCCATGTCAGACAGTTTTGAGCGATCAAGGACGGCATCAGTATTCGTAAGGGAATTATCCCCAAAATTCGGCGTCAGAAGGCCTCTGAGCCACTCAAAGGCCACCTCTTGAGCGTACAGCCATTTCTCGTTGACTATGTTGACGAAAGTGACCAATTCGTCAACTCCAGACAATGTGGGATTCATGCCTAGCTTCCGGGCAGATTTTCTCGAGTGTTCTAGGAAAATAGCCAGCCCGGAATTGCCAATTCCTTTGATGTCCTGAAGGTTCGAAAAGTTGTCACCTTGAAGCATTGCTTGCGACTTCGCCTCGTCCCAGTTTTTGATGGTGTCTCGTAGGTCTCTGGGCAGTAAATATTCGGCTTTTCGGTCAATAGGACTTTCAGGGTCTTTGTCATTGGTGCAAGGAACAAGTTTCCTTAGTTCATCGATGGTTCCAAGTTCAACTCCGATCTTGGAAAGTAAAGAGCCAGCGGTGTTAAACATCCACTCATCAGCTTGAACGTACTCTTCTAGCCGATCTTCATAGTACTTGGTCTGGTCGAAAGCGACTTCGTCAGTCTGCAACGTTGAATCGACGTTTGATTCCCGTAAACGAGTCCTTCTGCTTTTGGCTCTGGTGGGCTCTGTCTGGTCGTCTGGCATGGCTGATGCTGAGGAGCGTTTCCGACCTCCGACTCCTGACTTGAGGTCGGGTTCTTCCGCAGTTGTAGCGTCTTGCTGACCGGAAGCTTCCGGCAGGTTTGATGACTGAACTTCCCGTGAGTCCATAAGCTGTTTTTCCGCACCTTGGTCGATAGATGAGTGGTCGTCAATGTGCTCACTGGCAGGTCCGCTGGGTTCATTCTGAGCTTCAGTCTTCACGGAGGGTTGTTGTGCCTCTGCAGGTGTATCATCCACCCTTGGCATCTGAATGTCTTGTTTTTCAACAGGTGCTGCATTTTCCTCGTCTGCATTCAAGGGCGGATTCGCAAGCTCAGCATCCTCGCTGACGATAGCCTTGACCTCGGGGCTAACGGAGGGTAGAGATATCGCGATTGAACACCCGGGGCCAGGCCAGTCCACATCCGCATCATTATCGGAGAGTAGCTTGAGAATTTCCTTGCCAGTTGCAGCCCATGTCGGAGCACTTGGCTGGATCTCATGTCGCGACGTGCCGAAGGCAAGCGGGTTCCTCGAGGGGTCACTCTCTTCCAACTCCTTTGGTAGTGCCGGCAAATACGGGTACGGATCACTCTGGCGTTTTAAAAATTTGAGAAGGGCCTTTTTCGGTTTTTTGAGCGGGACCTGAGAGACGGCGATTCTATCACCCAGAGACCGCAATGTGTCTCGAAGGTGCTCTTCAGCGAAAGTTTCCTCCAACCCGAGCTGTTCCGTCCGAACTTCTAGGCGGTTTTCATCATCGGCCAAGACACTCTCCAAGCAATAGCGGGCCAATCGATAGCTCTTTAGGGCACTGCTCAGCCGTGCGCTTTGTCTCCAGAGGTTGAGGTCGGTATCGTCACGTTCGAGGGCATCGGCGAATGAGGCCAAGGCAGCGCTTGCACGCTTGACGGTTTCGGACGAGAGGTCCACTTGTCCGTCCGTCTCCTTGGGGGGATTTTGTAGAAGCGCGCGCAACGCATCTAAGATGTATTGTCCATGGTTCTTGTAGGAGAGGTAGATGGTCTGCAGTAGGGTGCTTGACGTGGAGTCGTTGGTGTCAAATTCGACGAGTGGCTCGACAGCGGCGGGACTAATCGTATAGTCAATCGGTTCGGCGAGCTGGCTCTCTGAATCCTGCAGCGCAGTTCTCTTATAGTCGGAGATCGATTCGGGGTATTTGAAGATCTCGGAATTGAGGAGCGCATCATATGCCTCTGCGGCCTCGTTATAAAACTGAGGACCCTGTGAGTGAAGCTTCAGGGCATTCTGATAAAGCTTGAGAGCTTCTTCAATCTGGATTTCCTTGGTGTCGTCAACCTCCTCTTCGACGGCCTCGGCGGGCTCGATATTCAGCGCAGTCCAGCTGGACATGGTGGGATTACTCCGGTCAAACGACGCTCGCTGGAACCGGTGAAGGGCGCGATATGAACCACCCCATTTCAGGGAGGAGATCGAGGTGCGGTGATTGATTTTGATATGGAAGGATCAAGATCAGAAGTCTAGAAGCAGCGACACGCATCACGCGTTCTCGACCTACCCAAAGGGGCATAGGGCCCGGCTGGTGCCTGAGGATCCACTGCCCTCCGCTTGGGGGCCCGTGACGACGACTTGCCCCAAAGAAGCCACCACCGCCATCTCGGCTGCTTCGTTCCTACACTCCCAGGCCGTTTGCTCTGCCTCTGGTGTCTTTGAATCCTTCTTTTTATTCTCACTCCTTCGCGAGTCTGCTTGCGCCATGGTTGCGCCAGCTGTTCCCGAGTACGTCCTGCCCCCTCCCCTGGCGTGTTCCTGAAACATTGCTGCTCCGCCCCCCGAGATAAACACCGTGCTTTCCGGGACTGCTCTACCCCAATTGTGCTGCCACTGACCGCTGAATCGCTATCAGGATTTACGAGGAGGATGAGATCTTTGCCGCAGTCGATGCGCGCACTGAATCTCTCCAAAACTTGCGGGAATTAGGTCCTCCCGACTTGGTCTATTTGGTCAAACAGCCGAAGACGAGCGGCAATCGTCAGGTATGGCTTGCGCTCACCTGTGGTGTTGTTTTTTTTACGACATAATTGGAAAGCGGTTGCAATCGGAGAAGACCTTGTTAACTGGACTGTATTGTTTCTAGACGGGCGTTTACCATCATGTCACCGGTATCGATGCCTCCTCCTCCGCCAGCCTTGCCGCCTACGTGAACACCCTCACATTCTCGCCGCTTGATAAGACGCACAAGGTGGTCTCTGGTGTATACTGGTCAGAAGAATATTGAAGATAGGGATTGGTTGTCATTACGGCTAACGAGTCCGCAGCTGCTACAATGCTTTCTCCCATCTCGATATGCGCGTGGAGGTGAAGATTCCTGGAAGCCTGGAGAGTTATTGTATCGATGAACGAGGCGACAAACGGGTCGCGACAGAGGCCCTCTGGTTAGAGACTTTTCTGTGCGGTGTTCTCCGAGCCTACTCGTATGCGGACAACGGTAGCGGGGATGCGATTCGCAAGATCGTCGGCGTCCGTCGATTCAACCCGGTCACCAATACGGAGATGGAACACAAGTTCATGGATGCTGCGGAGAGGCTCTTCTTCCTGGGTATGCGACGCGGTGCAGACATGCGCACAAGGGTAACCACGCTAACAGGAGACTTCTAGGGAGACAACTCAGCTCCGACCCGGAAACCCAAGTGCCTAATACCGTGAGCAACCACCTTACATCTGGGCTGCTAAAATACATCCAAACGACGGGACGTTACACTTCTGGAATCAATCTCTTCGAAAAACTTCGCACCCGTGATGTGGAAGTGTCATCGCTGCTCGCGCGGGTTCTCATAATGGCCGATGAGGAGGTACAGGCGGTGCGGTTAATGTTCGATGCTCTCCAGGATGTGCCCATGGACTACGCACTGCTCGACTGCCAGGCTGCTTTCTGCCAGAGCAAGGGCGAGGGCGAAATGGCGCTGGAGTGTGCGAAGCGCGCCGTCACGGCCGCCCCCAGCGAATTCAGTACCTGGGCTCGGCTGGCTGAGGTCTACGTGAGCCTGGAACAGTGGGACCTGGCGCTGCTGACGCTGAACTCCTGCCCGATGTTCACGTATCAAGATAAAGATACACCCCGCATGCCGCAACCGTCGCGCATTATGCTCCCTATCCTAGCCGAAAGCATGTTGGATGAGATCGACGAGGGCCAGCCCCGTCAGGGTGACCCTCACGACTACGTTCACCCATCTCTGCGGAGACTCCATGCGGCTGCCTATCAGGGAACTTTTTTGAAGGCCTATAATCTGCTCACGAAAATTGCGGCGTCTATCGGCTGGGACCAGCTGCTGAAGATCCGAAGCGAGGTCTTCGTCATGGAAGAGGAGTACCGCGTCGAGCGGCAGCACTCAACTTCCAAGACGGGGGGCTCCATCGCCTCTGTGGATGCTAATGGTGACGGAGAACAGGAAAATGGCACCAACTCCGAGGAAGATACGACAGCCAACGGGGCCAAGAGCGAGCAGCCGGGCGACTCTATCGAAAGACCGGAGCAGACGGTAGCCTCGGAAGTGGTCAAATCGGGCAACGAAGACGTGAGTGTCCCTATCGTTTCCAAACAAACCGTAGATGCCCCCCTACTGACTGACCAAGCCCGACCCATCACACTCGTCATACACACAATTCAAGAACAAGCGTCTGTGCGAACGCTGGCTCGACAACCTCTTCATGGTTCTCTATGAGGATCTGCGCATATACACGATCTGGCGCACGGAGATGGCACAGTATCGTCAGCAGGCGATCGAGTACAAGAAGTCAGCGACCGAATGGGAGATTCTGGGAGAGCTTGCCGAGCGCCTGCACCACTTTGATGAGGCCATCGAGGCCTACCAGCACTGTTTGTCAATCCGTTTCTCGCCCAAGGCGATGCGCGGTATTCTCAAGATGCACGAGAATCGCAACGACACGAGACAGATGCTGAGCTCGTTGATCCGACTCATCGCCTGGCAATACCGATGGTATTCTGAGGTAGGACTTAGCGTCTAATTCATACTCCCGCGACCGGTGCTAACGAAAGCAGTTCTCGCCCGAACTCCTCTATTTGATTCGCAAGCTCATCGAGGAAGAAGGCGCCGTCAAGGTGCGCAGCATAGTCCAGGCGACCAACCTGCCCCAGCCTGTTCTCGACTTGACGCACCAGTATTGCCAGTTGTGCGCGCAGTTCCGTAGCTCTGGCAGCGATGGTTAATGTTGTCTGGTTGCGCGGTGAGATTGCTATATACAGAGTACATTAATTGACCGTATCCTTTCCTCATCTCCTTGACTGATTCTTTTCTTTCCTGTGTTCCTAATGTTCTATTTCCTGGTGTCAAACTAGGATGTGAGGTTTCATCATAGATATCAGTTATTCATGGCACGGACTTCATTGTAGCAGTTGCTCTTCTTCTACGACCAACAGAACACTGTAGTCATCCATTAACTAAACGAGGAAGGGGATATCGTGACCGCCCGTCCAATGAACTCATAACCTAGTAAATAATCCAAGACAGATATCCAACATTATAGCATGTGAGAACAATCGCAAGACACTATACTATGCCTTCTCTTCAGCCACAGCCTCAACATCCGGCTCCTTGGGAACCTGATCAGCCTTTGCCTTGGCTGCCTCGGCAGCAGGTGCGCTGGTCTTGGCCGTCTCCTCGGGCGCCTCTTCAGCGTCGTCGTCGGCTTCTTCCTCGTCGTCTTCGCCGTTGACGCCGTTCTCGGCATCGCCATTTTCCTTTGCGGCGGCTTCTTCGTCCTCAGCGGGAGCGGGCGCAGTCTTGCGTTTCTTCGTCGCAGGGCCTGGATGGAGTCAGTTGGGGGCCATGATTTAGATGGATGACAGAAACTGGACGGAGCGCAATGCGCAGAGACGACGGAACAGATACAGAGAGAGGTATAGATCGAGATAAACTAACCTTTCTCCGCGACGGGTTCCTCTTCTTCCTCCTCATTCTCTTCCTCGCCTTCTAATCCGTCATCATCCGAGGGTTCCTCCTCGCTCGCTTCGTCTTCTTCGCTCTCGCCGCCTTCGGTGTCCTCGTATCTATGCGATGCATTAGCATGGGTATGGGCCCGTGGGAAATCGGAAATCAAAATTTAGAATTTTCAGATTGAGGAGATGCGAAAACCCAGCGCGATGATGATCATGATGATTGCGAGATAGGGACGATGAGGGATTAACCGGCGCAGGGCGTCGGACGCGCATGCGCCAAGGGATGAGCATGAGGGATTTGCGACAAGACACCAAAACAGCTGGACTCACTCTTCTTCCTCTTCACTCTCGTCGCTGGGGAGCGCCTGGAGCTCTTCTTCCTCCTCGGCTTCTTGCTTTCTCTTACGGGTGGACATGGTGGCTGGATGGGGATGGATGGGAGGATGGGGCGCTCGTATAGATTGCGCGGGTGGAGAGTGCGTCAATGGGGAGAGGGATGGATGGGAGGATTGGGGGAGAGTAGGAATGAATGGGGAGGAAGAGAGAGAAGGGAGAGAGGAAGGTAGGAGGAGAGGAGAGGATAGGGGAGAGGAGGAGTTATAAGCTGAGGAGGCAGGGGTCGTTCCTCTTTCTTACTACGACGACGACGACTATGGTGACCTCAGCCATTATTGGTTGTTGCAGAGAGCGAATGATGATGTCAGAACCGTACTGTACGTAATTTATATATTCGTATTGTATTACATCCTGTTACACTGCTGAGTAAGCCCCGCAATTTCTCCGATCGTCGACACCAACACGACCACACCACAACAACACAACAATAATAAACAAACTCCTTGTCTATGACCTGTCATTTCCGGGTATCTCTGTCTACTGCGCGAGAAACTCAAAATTCGCCATGCTTGGATCCAGCAGGTTCTCGTCCAACCCGAATCCATAGGTTCCCACCATGTCGTAGATCAAATCCGGTGGAGGAAACCCTTGCGCCATCGCATTGGCGCCCCCAGGCACCTCACCATTGCTGCTTGTGCGGTCGTCGCCCGCACCGTTACTGCCGCCGGCCCCTGCGCCTGCGCCTGGAGCGGCCCCCGCATGCCAGGACGTCTCCCACGAGTCGAACCGCTCCAGCATCTTGCTCAGCCCGCGCGCAATGTGTCGCGTCAGGTGTCGCTCCCCTGCCGACACGCAGTTCATCAGTTCAATCACCCGCTCAACCAAATGTCGGACTTGACGACCATCCAGACTCAGGTAGGCCGAGTTCCAATTCACCGCCACTTTGAGTAAAAACACCGCGGAAAAGGTGACCATTGTGTGTGTGAAGATGGGCACTCCGACGATCGCGTCACGGATGTCCGGTTCCTCCAGCACCATGTTCAAACACGCCATCGCTGACGAGATGGCAATGTTTGCCGACTCCTTCCGGTCCATGGAGAACACGGGTGTGTTGGATGGCGACAGCGCCCGCAGAGACAGCGAGTTCAGCTGGAACTTGGCGAAATGGTAGTGTAGCACTACCCCTTTCGAGGGGTATGTCCGGACATACGGACTATCGGCTAGATGCAGTGTGTTAGAACACGCACGAGGTTCACTTCATGAGATACTTACAAGACCGCGGCTGCCACAGGAGACGCCATTGATCGACCGCGACGTTATACACCCGGAGCTGGCCAAAGTCTTCTTCCGTCAACGCTTGCTCCGTATCACTCCCAAACATGCGATACGCTTCCGTCAGAATCATGAACAATGCTACCTGAGCCATCAGGCGGATGTCCCCCGGAACCACCATGGGACTCTGGAGGAAGGTTTCGTAGTTCTTGATCGCTGCATCTTCGTGAATCACCGGTGGTCGTCCGTAGGCAATACTAAAATGGTGGTCGCAAACGTAGAGGAGATACCAGAGCTGCGCGCGCTCATACTGGTCGCTGTGTCCGCGAATCATCTTCTGGTAGCTCTGGTGGAGACCCAGTTCGGTCGCGATGCGAACTGCATGGCCGGAGAGCTTCCAGCTCAGTTCGGACAGCCAAAAGGCCCCAACGCAGAGACCACGGATATCGTCCAGCGTGTGCGACCGTGTGAGTGACATGCTAGACACGAGCGAGACATACTCGCTATAACACCGGTTCAAGGTATCGGTGCGATTGGGTATGTGAAGCGCTGCCACAGTGAGAACCGCGGCGGATAGGAGGGTCGACGCTCGTCGCACGGATGTGAGATCACGGTGTACGAGAATGATGCCTCCCCAGAGCAGCTGGTTCATTGTTCGGCTAAAGTATGCGAAGAGCTCTTCGGCCTCATGGAGAGAGATGAGGCCGCGAGAGATGAAGTCTTCCTCGAGGAGGGTGAGCTTGGGCCGCTCCACCGGGTTATTTCGCAAGTTGCGCAACTTGGTGACTTCGTAGAGACTGCGCATAGGGGCGGGAACCAGTTCGCGATCTGGCAGGTCTGGTTCTTGGGACGGCTCGCGGGTGACATCCATTACTACTCCGGGTCCCGTGTGATTTGGGTGGGTCGGACTGGACTGCGATTCTTCGTAGGGATAGCCATTGGAATGATGTGATGCGATGGGACTGGGGCCATTTCGACCATCGCCCGCGGGGTAAGTGGTAAGGTCCGGGAGGCCTCCGTGGCGAAGGAGATGCGAGACCGCCGCCTGCAACTGCTGGATGGTCGCGGCGGCCTGTGATTTCCAACTGGAAACAAGAATGTCAGAAGGGTTTCGAGTCCTATGGAGCTGACATGGCACACGTACACTCCATCGTCATCGACGAACTTCTGCGAGAAATCGTTGACCACACATTTGATGCCGCTGCGCAGACACTTGGTACAACTTGTCTCCCCCGGCTTGAATTCACATCTGATCTTATGGCGCTTGCAATCCGCACCTAATTCCAGTTGCCGTTAGTAAATGATTGCTCTCCAACGGTTCTGCGACACTCACAAGCGCGGGCTTTGGATATTTTCGGGGCGGCTGGTCGTCCATCGGGAACGAGAGAGGCACGACGGTCAGTTTGCCGATGGTCCAGGTCGGCATCCGACGAGGAGCGCTTCATGCTGACTGATTGATTGGGCTGATCACTAATTAATGCAATGGAGAGGCAGAGGATGAGAGTGGTCGGGGATGCTCCGGCATGATGCAGCCGAACTGCGATCGGGATAGATAGTGGGGATCAGCGAGAGGGGGGAGTGAATTGCTGCCAATCAAGCGATGATAGCCTAGATGAGGATGACAGGGGGGTTGATGGCTTCCAGAAGGGTGATGAGAGATATGGAGAGTCGATGGAGTGGATTGCGAGAGTGCGAAGGCGAAATGAGACGATGGGAGAAGAGCAGAACCCCGCCTGACCCAAAGGGGAATAATCGTGGCAGACAACCACCATGGTAGGCACCAGATACGAACAATGACTATAGAATTATAAAACTATGGAACATTATCTACACGTGGATAATTGCGTACATTCTGATCTCCATCCCATTACTCAATGCATTCGGCCTGTGGAACATCTGGGGAAAATCTGGGGATCACTTTTAGGGGGTAACTACTAACTAGTATGTAATGGCCGGCTTAAGTCCGGGGGCGGAGACTCTCCAAAGCCGGACTTGTTGCGACGGACGGAGCCCATCCCGAACCCCCCACCATCCGCCATCTCGACGCTGTCGACACGATGAACTCTTCGCTATATATCCTCCATCCCCGACCCTTTTCGCCGAGGCCGTGACTGTCTCTCCAATTGTACACCCACTATGCAGATTCTCATCACCGGCGCGGCCGGGTTCATTGGCCAATTGCTCGCTGCAGAGCTCCTCAATGACCCCGCCTACAAGCTCCTTCTAACCGACATCAACGAGCCTCCCATTCCCAAGGGCGTAAAGTACCCTCAGAATGCGCGTGCCGTGACCGCCGACCTCCTCCAGGGCGCCGACGCCGTAGTCGACCCGTCCCTGGACGCCGTCTACGCCTTCCACGGCATCATGTCGTCGGGCTCCGAAGCCAACTTCGACCTCGGCATGAGCGTCAACGTCGACGCGACCCGCAACCTGCTCGAGGCCCTGCGACGCACCTGTCCCGGCGTGCGGGTGATCTACTCCTCCAGCCAGGCCGTCTACGGCCAGCCCTTGCCGGAGGTCGTCGACGACCGCGTCATCCCTACGCCGCAGTCGTCCTACGGCGCCGAGAAGATCATCTGCGAGACGCTCATCAACGAGTACACCCGTCGCGGCTTCATCACCGGCTTCACCCTCCGCTTCCCGACCATCTCCGTGCGCCCCGGCCAGCCCACCGCCGCCGCCTCGTCCTTCTTGTCCGGCATGATCCGCGAACCGCTCGCCGGCAAGGAGTGCGTCATCCCCGTCGAGGACCGCGCCTTTAAGTCCTGGCTCTGCTCGCCCAAGACGCTCGTCCACAACCTCGTGCTCTCGCTCTCGCTGCCCGCGGACGCCGTCCCCCCGCATATCCGCCAGATCAACGTGCCCGGCATCTGCGTCACTATCCAGGAGATGATGGATGCGCTGGAGAAGGTCGGCGGCAAGGATAAGCTGGCTTATCTGAAGGAAAAAGAGGATCCGGCGCTGCGCCCGATTCTGGACTCGTGGCCTACCCGCTTTGATAACTCTCAGGCCATCTCGCTGGGTTTCAAGCGGGATTCTTCGTTCGAACAGGCTGTTCGGGACTACCAGTTGGCGGTGTCGCAGCAGTAGGATTGATTTTGGTGCAGTGTGTTTGATAGTATCATGACCACGTATATAGGATGTAATGAATTATAGATTCAGTTGCCCTGCTAATCTGCCTGTCTGTGCCGCTACTCACTATCATGCCATCCGTATAACATGTAACTGTCAAAGTCGAGATTGAATACAAGTACATACAAGCCATTCTGGGTATATCGTCCAACAACCACATCCAAATCAACCTTGTGCCATATGTCCTCCATACAATCTATTCCTCGGAGGCGGATTATTTCCACACCTGCGATGTCTTAGCACTTGTCACTAACCAGTCAACAGCTTTCCCAAACCTGTCCATCAATAGCCACCAAGCGATTAAACAGCTGGTTCCTCATGCGCATCGCCGTAAGCTGATACGTTTGATCCGGCTCTTTCCCAACAATGACCAACCCATCCACGACCTCCTTGCTCCCCACCGCCCATCCAGTCACAAGCTTCCCCTTCCAGCCGAGACCCCCGATCTTGCGCATCTCCCGGATATCAGTCACAGGGATGGTGAACAACACGGACGCCTTTTCCCTCCTCTCCAGCCGATGGTCGCTGGGGTCGATGGCTGGATCCGTTGTGAAGTAGAGCACGGGCGGCTCGGACGAGCAGTCAATCACCGCCGCGCCGCGTTTGCCCTTGTACCGGGCATCGAAGTGCACAGGTCCCGAGGGCAGCGTGAGACGGCCCTTGCGGCGCAAGACGCCAACCCGCGTTTTGGCGTGCTTGGAGCCGGCCGCAGCGCGGACGCGGTCGATGGCTAGCTTGCTCTCAATCCCGGTAGCAGTGGTCCCGCGGAAGAAGTCCAGCACGCGAGATGCCCAGGATTTGGGCTTCTGGGCCTCGTGGTGTTCTTGCTGCTCTGAAGGGTGTAAGTCTGCTTCTGGGGACGCAGCTTGGCTGATCTCCTCGTCTGAGGCGGCGAGGTTGACTTCGCTTGGGTGAAGGGATGCTGGCTGGGACGGGGCTTTCTCGAGAGAATGCCGAGGAGGCGGCGGCAGAGGAGCTGTGTTGGCCTCGCCGATGCGAAGAAGCGTGAGGGTTAGTTGGGCGTTGGTGGGGATGCCCTTGAGGAGCGAGCTGGATGATGTTAACAGAAGATGGTTTGTGGAGTTTGGGTGGACTCACTTCTGGGGCAGTAGGGATGCCTGCCATCCGGGGAAGTTTGTGTTCAGATATGCGATCGCGCGCGCAAAGACAGGGTCACCAAAGAATACAGCCCCAAGTGCAAATGTGCTTGTCTTCACAAAAAAGTGGTTTGTGGTCACCAGTGACACTGCGAGGGCAGCAACCAGCACGCTGCCCAGTCGTACAAAAGGCGTTTTCGAGGAGAAGGGCGGCGTCGGTGATAGCGCACTTTCAATCAACCAGTCAATCTTGGACATCAATTCTGCAGTGATTGGGTAAACTTACTTTCCGAGTCTCTCGTAGGTGTCAGTGATGTCGCTCAATACTCGCATGGATAGATTGGCGCCGTCGAGGACTGTCGTCATCATTGGTTGTTTTGTCTTATCATGGGTTTCAGTTGGGACCTCGCCATGGGCCGCGGTCTGCGCATCGGCGGTCTTAGAGACTATGTCCATCGCATCGGGCACAGAGGACTCCATAGGGGCACCTTCGGGGGTTGCTTGGTCGTGCTTCCCAGCAACACTGCCTACGACCACGCTGGAGATACCAGTCATGAGGTTGCGGGCCTCTTGCTCCGCTGCCTCGCCTTTCATTTTCTCTGGGGCGCCGGTGAGACTGTCATGCGAGCCGAGTACGCCCGCCTTAGGTTTCTGCACACCACCCGTACTGGAGTCCACCAGTGCGATTGGTGCTGGAGGGAAGAGTATTGGTCTAGCCGGTGGATAGACGGTCAATGCGAGGAGGACACAGATGAAGGTTGGGACAAGGAGATCCAGTAACCATGCAGTAAAGTATACCTAGACAGTTTAATCAGCATCCGCTGTCACATTTCATGCAGTTTACCATACGGCACAAAATATCGAGGTCCTCTGGGTCTCTCGCCAGGAGCGCAGTCTGGCAATATGCTTGACAAACCCGGTCAACGACACGAAGATGGTGGTATAGAACCGCTCGAGAGTCGCGCGCAGTTTGTCTGGAGAGAACTGCTCATCCTCCGCCCGGATGAGATCCAACCTTTGCAACGGCGTATCTGGGACGGCTTTCACATAGTATATTTGCTGGGATCAGTCAGTATGTGGATTCGTCCTTGGGGCACCGGGAGCATGCTTTGTCAAACCGTCTGATGAGCATCCAGAGGTCTTCATTCGACAAACCGGATACAATGCGCTCATCGATGTCATCAGGAGATTGATACCATCCGACGTCCGAGATTTCCTCGGTGTGGCCGGCCTTTTCCGCGAGGCCTTTCTCATCCTGGGGGACCTGGGAGAGAATATGGCTGTCGGTGGGCCCGGTGACAATGACGTTGTCTTCGTTCTCAGTGTGTTCTTTTTCCTGCATTTCGTATATATCATCCACGAACTAACGGGTATAACAACAGCAATTATTAGAAACGATTGAGATCAGGGAGGTGAACAGTGGATGGGAGGGTGGACATGATCTATCCCAGGGGCCCATCGACGTCATTCTTCCATCGTCCGTCCCAATCAGGATCTTTCACATTATTCACTCAGGTACCTTATTTCCAAACATAAGGCACTACCTGGTACCTAGTAGGTAGTATGGTACTGTGTCATAGACGGAAAGAGACGGTTTGATTCTTGTTTTATTGTCTTCCTCTTATTATCAACATGGTAGTTTTGTCCCACTAAGGTTCCCATGCTCTCAGTCTCATAGTAGGATGCAACCAATGAGGGAAGGTCATTTGCGCCACACGCGCACCAGCCACAGTATCCTAAAGGGGAAATACGCGTCCAGCTTCCGCGGCGCGTTTGCCATCTTTTCCAGAACTACATCCATCACGGCCCTCAACCCCACGGGGAAGAAGGACAGCATGAGAACTTTAGTCCATACAAGGGCCCATGCGTATGATCTATCTTGTTCTCCTGGGTCCACAACGCATTCAATCACCCTAAAAACAACACCTGCGCCACCATGAGCGAATCCTGTGCGAACCCCCTCCTTCTGGGGTGGATCAAAGAAATGCTGGATCAAGCTCGAGAGCGAAATAGCAAAGGCGCGATTGTGTTAGTATATTGATTCTCTTATGTACTAGGGACACGCTGACCTCGCTTAGGTACAAAAAGGCATATGAATCCATGAAGGCCTGTCCATTGGTCTTCGAACATCCGTCTCAGGCGCAACAGCTTAATGGAGTCGGCCCCAAGCTCTGTGAACGTCTCACAGAGAAGCTGCAGATGTACTGTGAAGAAAATGGTCTGCGGATGCCAGAAGATCCCAAACGCAGTCAGTACCCATCCTTTCGGGGCATATCCAACGACTAATGATCATGACAGGAAGACCCCAGTCCGAAGCTAGCCAGGCTGGAAACAATAAAAGATCCTCCGACGGTGATGACGTCGATGATCCGGCTCCAGCAAAGAAAGCCCGCAAACCAAAACCCTACGTGCCCGCCTTGCGGTCTGGGGCGTACGCCTTGATTCTCGGGCTGGCCACCCTCGGCGAAAGCTCGACTCAAAGCCTGACGAAAGCGCAACTGATCGAAAAGGCCCAGCCCTTTTGTGATAGCTCATTCACCACCCCAGACGACCCGAAGAAATTCTTCACAGCATGGAACTCGATGAAGACTCTTCTTCAGAAGGAGCTTGTCTACGACCATGGCCATCCGCTGAAAAAGTACGCCCTCACGGAGGACGGGTGGGAGGTTGCCAACCGAATGATCAAGACATTACCTGACTCAATTCGGAGTACTTTTTCCAAGCCAGTCAGTCAATCTACACTCCCCTCGTAGTGATTATCCCCTAACGAAACCTCAGGATGCCGAGTCACAAGCAGAAACCAATCCCAACGATCTCTCACCCGATCTCATGATCAACCCTCTTGATGCCCCTTCAGACACCTCACCAGTCACCCCAATCCCCATCCCACCCGCCAGCTTCACCGTCCAGCTGGTCCTGGACACCCGCGAAGTGCGCTCCTCCAAAGACCGGGACTACATCTCGAACGAACTGCACCGCAAAGGCGTGCCGCACGACGTGCGGGCTCTGGAGCTCGGCGACGTGATGTGGGTAGCCAAGTTCCACGATGCGCGGTTCCTCGCGCAGCACGGCGAGGAAGGCGACGAGGTCATGCTGGACTACATCGTGGAGCGCAAGCGGCTCGACGACCTGCTCGGCTCGATCAAGGACGGCCGGTTCCACGAGCAGAAGTTCCGGCTGCAGCGCTCCGGCATGAAGAACGTCGTCTATCTCATCGAGGAATCGGCCATCGCGCACGACCCCGCCAGCGGCTCCGCCCAGCGCTACCAGGACATGATCACCTCGGCCGTCACCTCAACGCAGGTCGTCAACGGGTACTTTGTCAAGAAAACCAAGAACATCGACGATACCATCCGGTATCTGGCGCGCATGACGTTCCTGCTCAATCGCATGTATACCTCGGCGTCGCCGGCCCGCGCCCTCGCACTGATGCCGAGTCGCCAGCTCTCCTCCGCGCAGTCGTATCTCGATGCGCTCGACCGGCTGCGCGCGGAATCCCCTTCCACCACGTTTTCTGTCACGTTCCCCACGTTCTCTGCCCTGTCGTCTAAATCCGAGGCCCTCACGCTGCGGGATGTGTTCCTGAAGATGCTGATGTGCACGCGAGGCGTCACGGGAGAGAAGGCTTTGGAAATTCAACGCCGGTGGCCGACGCCGCAGGCTTTTGTTCAGGCTTTCGAAGCGCTGGACCCGAAGGATAGGGAAACTATGGTTTCCGAGCGGGTGAAGTCGGTCGTCGGGCGGAAGTCTGTTGGGAAGGCTCTGAGCAAGAAAATCGCGGAAGTATGGGCTGAACAAGGTTGACATATGGGCTGCTTAGACAGCTAATATATTTCTAAACTCCTGCTAGAGGACAGAGAACAGTCTAAAGTCGGCATCAGAATTTAAACCAGAACTAATCTAAATACGGAACCTCGTTTCCAAGAGAAAGGCGTAGATAGACCAGATTTTGCTAACCGCAGCTACAAGGACGAGTCTATAGTTCATCTATATGCAAGTGTCATCAACCGCCTGTACTTCCAACGTTCTATGCTCCCAGTATTTTGATATGTCGTAGTCCGCGCACCAAGTCATTCAAGACTTACGAACATCGTCAGACGCAGCTTGCTGCATAAGCCGAGTCTGTCGTTCCCTCCGCCACTTCTCTCCCCATTTCCATTGAACCCATATAAGCGGCGTAAAGAAAATCACAGCCCCCGTCACGATTAAGAAAGCCTTCATAGCGCGTACAGCCTCGACTAACGGCTGTATAGCACTGACACCTGCAGCCCCGAGCAGACAGCGACACAGATTATTTAATGCCGTAGCGCTAGCCGGTCGGTCTGGGAAGCAGTCAATCAACACCGTCGAGTTCACGTTAAAGATCGCCGTCGACGTGAACGCAATAATAAACTGCAGGATAAGCGGCGCCGCGAGGTTCGGGCTCGACTCCCTCCACACCTCGTTGAACTTGAAGCTTGGTCCGTACAGCGCCAGCGCGATGATCATCGCGAAGCTGAAAAACGGCATCAGGCGGAGCCGTCCCTGCACGTAGGGAAAGTCGCTTCTGCCGGTCACATTTTCGTCTGCGGATAGGCCGTGTTCGGCCTTGTATCGTTCCTGGACGCGTCGGAAACTCTGGTCCAGCAGCCAGCCCGTGCTGAGGGAGCCGCAGATACAGCCGAGCCCGTTGGGAAAGAAGCAGAGGCCAATCTGCCACTGGGTAAGATAGGGGAAGCTGTGAAGCAGCATGGTCGTGGTAGAGGAAGTCACCATACTCCAGGCTGTGTAGGTAACGGCGCCCCAGGCCAAGAGCGAAGCAATATCCCTTTCTAGAATATATTTCAAGGGGCTGAAGGCTTTCTTCCAGGAGAGCGGTGGGCGGGACTTTGTAGCAGTGTTTTCGTTCTCTGACCATGCCGCGGGTGGTTTGATCACATAGGCGAGCGGTTTGTAGAACCCAGAGAGAGGAAGGCTGCCGTTTCCTGCAATGCTGCGCTGCGTTTCGGGCAGGAAAATCAACAGGGCACTGAGAACGATCGCGCTTAAGGTGAACAGCAGCCAGAAGATGCTTCTGAAACCCCATGCACTATTTAACGCGCCGCCAATGATCGGTCCGATTGCCTGGCCGGACATACTAACACGGAGTTATCAGTCATGGTGTTCTGAGGTAGAAGCGGTGGGAAGCCTACCGTATGCCTGCATTGGTCCCCATGAACCCGCCTCGTTCGTCCGGACAGGCTATGTCTGCAATGACACCCGCGCTAATGCTAATCGTCGCCGCCGACCCGGCTGCCTGGAGACCCCGTAAGACCATCAGCATAGGATAGTTCGAGGTAAAGGCTAGTGCCAAATTTGCCGCCGTATATATAGTAAGGCTGATCGTGAAGCTGAGACGACGGCCGCAAGTGTCTGAGAAGCTGCCGAAAAGCGAGGGCGCAATGCCCTGGACTATCATATAGACTGTGATAGTTAGGGCGACCAGCGTAGCATTCACTCCGAGATCGGTAGATATGGTGTTAATCGCGGGGAAGTATATGTTGGACGACAGAGGCGAAAAGGCACCGGCCATAGAGACGAAGATAACTAGGTTCCATTTCTGCTTCTTGGACAAGATATGGTAGGGCTGTTCCTCCTTTGGAGCGGCCACAGACGCGGTGGGGTCTTTTTCAGCCATCCTGGTGATCGACTTGGATTGAGGACTGGTATCTTACTGGTGATATGTCGCTGAGGACCTAACAGATATTTATACATTGTGACAGAGGTGGTTGTCAATCACCTCACTACCTAGATTTCTCGTAAGAGTACAATCTGATAGCAAAGACAGCGGGTGTCGATCTGCAGCTCCGACCAAGTACTATAGTCACTGTACAGGGGCAGCACATCTTCCTTGCCAACCATAGTTGGTCCCTTTGCCGATCTGCTCAGACAAGCCCCAGTCGACTGCAGCCCAACAGGGTCTGCATTACTCCGGCCGGAGTATATGCATTCCAAATTCTCCGACAAAACACCTTCTGCTAGACGAGCTCTATGACCAAGCATAGGCCAAGCTTCTACAAGACTCTGACACCCACGATCGTCGTATGGCGACAGCATGGCTACTCCGTATCCCCAGGCTCTTTTCTTCCACGAGACGAGCCGGTTGAAGCGGACAATATCTTGCAGGGCGCCACGATAATCCTGCTAGTCAGACTATGAAACGAGAACGTTTCAGCTTATTCTTCGAACCCAAGACCCTGTGATATCCGATTGCTTCTAGCGTAACAGAACCCGTAACTATACCTACCTTGGTATACCACGCGCTCATGTCGATCTCCCAGCCCTAGCCGAACGGCGGCTCTTGGCGTAGCAGGCAGATAAGAAACCTGCATCGTCGATCACCCCCATACAGGCGTCTATTGGTCTATACCTATATTCCCGAATGTGGTCCCTATAAGATATCTCTTGATCTACCGTGTACTTGACCACCTCTACCGCCGGAAGTATCCACTACTTGTATCATCACACCGGGAGCGGCCTTGATCTATCCGACCCCTACACTATCGTCCCGGCCCGGGAGTCGGTTATATGTTGTATACTATTAGAGTCCGAGCCTTCTTAGTACGTCTTAGTAGTGTGCATACCTATACTTTAGTTCGGGCATTCAATAGTACTCCGGAAGCTCCGCAGGACACTAGTCGGTTTATACTAGAAAGCAGTAAAAGCGCCTACTGATTACCCTCTCAGCCCTAAGACAGGTGGTAGAGTTACTCCGGAGTAGAGCACTGTTCTATATCTTCTCATTCTAGTCGTCTATGCAAGAAATCGGCGCAATGTTATCCCCCGTAGCTTACGTACCTCCGGGACCCTAGGGGTCTTAGCACATTTAGTAGCATGGTGATCATGTTAATCGGAATCTATTGTTTCCGGTAGTTCCACTTTCAGCTTGTGCGGTTGTCGCGATATCCGATTCCGGGCCTTGTCAGACAGCCTAGCCTAAGACTTTGTGCCAAGTCAATGCCCATCCTCACCGAAGGCGCTGTGAGTGTCGTGCGTCAATTGCCAGATCTGGCCTCCGAGATGGTCCTTACTCCTTCTGGTATCTAAAAATCAATGAGGAACTCGATTCTATATCCTACTTTATGACAATCTCTGCAGCGCGGTTGCGCCGTATGCGCGGCCCAGCTGTAGAAAGCGCTTATGACCCGAGCGCTTCCTGAGCCTTGACCGGTCAGAAGAAATACTCCGTCAGCAACCCTCTGAGCGTCCTCATTAAAGCGGTCTTATCCAAACAGGGAAAGTTCCGTTGATTAAAAAAATAAAACAAGTCTGTATAGGTACACAGTTATATCAGTGCCCTGTTCCAGTACCCTATCCAACCGTCCCAAACACTAAAGATACAGGTACATCCATGAAACAAACAGGGTATCACAATGAATCTAATCACCCTTCCTAAAAGCCCGCCTCATAGTGTTTCGGTCAACCCCCAAAGCCAGGCTGCTACAAACAACCGAGATACTGCTGAGTGCCATAGCCAACGCAGCCCAGACCGGACTCAACCTCCAGTGAGAATTCACCATGACCATATCACCCTCTACCATCTTCATTTTGTGACCACTGACAATGGGGTAGAAGATCCCCGCCGCAACAGGTACCAGGCACAGGTTGTACACAAGCGCCCAACCGAAGTTGAGTCGGACGCGATTGAATACCCGGCGGCTGAGCATCACGAGCTGCAGAATCGTGTCCAGCTCCGAGTTCAGAAGGATAAAACTGGCTGAGTTCATGGCGACATCCGAGCCAGATGCCATGGCAATGCTCACGTCAGCGGCTGCAAGTGCAGGAGAGTCGTTCACACCGTCGCCGACAAAGGCGACAATGGAGCGCGTTCCGCCTTGCCTCCTTTGGCTTTCGGCTTCAGCATCTGACCGTGGAGAGAGGACAGCGTCTTGGACATGGCGGACGAAATCCGCTTTACCAGCCGGCATGACATTCGCTGCGACATTGGATTGAGGGATGCCAACAGCGTCGGCGACGGCGTACGCGGTTGTCTGGTTGTCGCCAGTACACATGAAAACGTTGACATTGCGCCTCTGCAACTTTGAGACCACGTCGGCGGCGTTGGTTCGGATGGAGTCAGATATGGCAAAGACCATGGCCGGGGTGAAATAGGGTGGTGCTTCGCCTTCGGGAGTGATTTGGCGCAATGCGAGAATTGCAGTGGGCTTTCCCGCTTCCTGGTACTTTGAGAGCAAGTTGGCGAAGTATGAATCGTCCAATTCAGGTGATACCAGACCCTGCACAAGTCGCTGATTCCCTATCGCAGCTTCGTATCGAATGGCCTCCTTCTCATTTGACGTTGACACAACAAACACACCCTTCATACCCAATCCTGATTTCTCTTCAATATCGGAACTCACGATAGAGACAGCGGGGCTCTCGCCACAGAATCCCACTATTGCTCGAGCGATTGGATGGTTGCTGCTTTCTTCCAACTTGCGCGCGAGTGCCCAGCCAATCCGTGCCGTGTTCGCGTCGGTGACGAGTGACTCGTGGTCAGACACTTTCAAGCTTCCTCCTTCGGTGAGGGTGCCCGTCTTGTCGAAAACGATGGCATTGAGCCGACTGGCCTCTTGGAACGCTTCGCCACCACCCTTGACAAGGATCCCATGCCTGGCTGCCAGGCCTCCGCCGACAAAAAGCGCTGTAGGAGCAGCGAGCGCAAGACCACACGGACAAGCAACGACAAAGACGGCAATAGCAAACTCCAGGCTCCAAAAGGTCCACCCACCATGTACGACATCGAGGTAATCGTCTGGCAGCGTGCCCGACAAGCCAAGAGATAGCCAGATTATGAATGTCAGGATTGCAATGAGGGTGATCAGTGGGACAAAATGAGAGGTAAGAAGATCAGCAACTCTTTCCAAGGGAGCCCGTCTGCTCTGACCCTCGCGTACGACGGAGATGATTTGGTCCAGCATTGACGAGCCTCCGATAGCGGTGACCCGGATTTTGATGGGCTGACCAACGTTTACAGAGCCAGTGTAGACTAAGTCTTCCGTTGTCTTTTTAACCGGTCTTGACTCGCCAGTCAATGAGCTCTCATCAAATTGACCAACACCTGTATCAACGACAACCCCATCCGCTGGTGGTGAAGCACCGTGGGGAATGCTGACCAGGTCACCAATCTCCAACATGTCGACATCAACCCGTTGAATCTCATCGCGCTCCTCATCGTAAGTTCCGGCTGACCCCTCGCTGCAAGTGTTGACAATAAGCAGAGCCTCGGAGGGTCGCAATTTTCCCAACGAAGCGACTGCGTCGCCTGTTTTCGCCTTGCTGTACGCCTCGATGAAGCGACCTGCAAGGATGAACAGTGTTAGAAACACCACGGTATCGAAATAAGTTGAGCTATGTGTATCACTTGTGGATCCCGCTACAGCATCAATTATGAGGACTGCCAGCGAAGAAGCATAAGCGACCGTGGTACCAGCAGAGATGAGCATGTTCATGCTACCAAAGCGGTAGAACCTGCGGAGGATGGGGACGCGGCTTCCTGGGCGCCACAAAGAATATATTTCTTTCATCGCCCGCACATGGAAGATGTCGGTCCCGTAAAACATGACAGGAGTCGTCATGATGAATAGTGCCCATTCCATGCGGGAAACACTTCCAACCCACATAGGCTGCTCGAGGTACCGTCGTACCTTGTTTTGGGGAGATACAAGGCTCATGAATACAATCCCGAGGATAAAAGTCGGTATTGCGACAACCAACACAAATAGCAGGCGAGAGAGCAGGCGACGCCTCTCATGGTGTTGCATCGCACGCGATCGATCTTCGATCGTCGGGGGCCGGTGGATCGCCGGATTGAAAGCATCGTGCTGTGTCTTGATATTTTGGAGGATGTCGCGGATAGTGAAATGAGGAGGACGAGGAGTGTAGGTTACTGTGAGGATCGGGTTTTTCAAGGAGAAACCATCGTCAATTTCGACATCGGGAAGTCCCTTGGCCGATTTAAGGATTTTGTCTGGACAGTGATGACAGAACATTCCATCGACACGAATAGACACTGTTCTTTTTTCGATGGAGCCATCCTCGGAATCTATCTCCTTTGGGTGAACGCTGCTCAGAGAAGCGTCGTACCCCAAGTCCTCGATCTTCTCAACAATGGCGTCAACCTGATCAGGGTGGTCGAATTCAACTTTTCCACTGTGGGACAACAGATTTACCGACACGTCTGTAACAAATGGCAATTCTTCAAGTCCTCGAGTTATGGCTGCCGCACAGGAACCGCAAGTCATCCCACCAATGGCGATCTCGGCAACATATGTTGATGACTTTTGAGTAGAAACCTGCTTGTTGATTTGACGGGCCTCATTGAGTGACGCCTCGAAGCCCATGTCGTCAATCTGTTCAATGACCTTGTCGACATTTGATCGCGGCCCAGTTACCACTACTCTAGCACTGTTGGTAAGTAGGTTGACCGTGACTTCCTTGACGACATCCATCTGCTCGACTTCGTTCGTGATAGAATTCACACATGAGGCGCAGCTCATGCCCCCAATACTTATGCGGGCATCCCATTGGTCTGGCTCACATTGGAGATGGGATGGTCCCGCATTAGCAGTGGCTTCTTTAACGAGGTCAGCCGTGGCCTCGGGCCGCGAGGACATGAAGCTCGTGCTGTGGAGAGTCTCAACGTCATCCGAATGCGCTTGGGATTGCTTGGTGGTGGATCGAAGAGATGTAGTGTCCGATGCATTTGACACGATATTCCCAAATTCTTCCTTCCTACACGCGTCACATTTTGCGATGTGTCTGCGATTTGGAGATCCACTGGAGTAGGAGGGTTGTGTGGCGAAGAGGATGGAGTCTCGAGAAAGCCAGGGGGTAGTCTCGAAATCCGACACGATAGTGCCTCGATGATCAAATGTCGTGACATGGTGGACCTCAAACGCTGCATGGATGAGCGCTGTGGCCAAATCTGCAGGCCGAGTGACAGAGATGTGTCTGACGCGGACCTCATGGGTGAGGACGGAGACGTCCACGGCTTGCACACCATGAATGTCGGAAAGAATCTCCGTGATATATGCAACACAAGAGGAGCAATGAATGTTGCTGACGAAGAATATGCTCTTGAGAAGCTCGGCATCCTGAAGAACAGGAGCATGAGCGGATGATTCCCTCACCGAGAGAGACATGATGGTGTTGTTGATGGTCTTGGAAGAACTGAGCCGCTCAGGACACGAAGAGTAAGACCGTTTCGGTCTGAGAAGATGGCGTTCGACGAGGTGAGAGGAGAGATATCACAGGAACGAAGTCGACGAGTAAGGTACTCCGTACGTATCGAGGCGCAATTTTGTATGGGAGCAGAAGACAGGAGAGACGCTCTCTTATGCGTTTTCTCAGATGACAAATAGAGAGCAATGAAGAAATCAATCGACAGGGAGAGAAAGAAACTCAAAGGGTTGAGTCAAGAGGCGAAAGGGATGAAGTTACATATTTGCGTTGTTTCTGCGCGTGGAGAAGTTGGATGTTACTAAACTACGCACAAATGTCGCAGTCCACCGAAAGGACTGACTGGTGAGCGGTTTCTGCGGGATCCTTGCAGAAAACCTGTCGCGTGGCCATTCTGATCACGACAATCGATCCAGAGGATACTCAGAGGACCTGATGTCCGTTCTAGGGCATCCCATTCAGTGTGGGAGAGAGATGAGGAGGTACTTAGATCGAGATGCGAAATGAAAGACTCTTGCCGGAATCGAACGAGCGGATGAGCAAGGCAGCGTTCACGTGACCGTGCCACTCGACCACCGCCAGCTGCAAAGACGCGAGGCTCGCCGCATCTTGTTCGCTCGCCCAACGCGACTTCACTCTTCTCTCTCTTCTCTTCCATCGCTTCTTCACCTACTGCCAGTGATACTCCATATCATCACCTCGCTATTCCTCCAATCTCACAACCTCAATCCAATCTGGGTCTTCTTCGACTCTCAAACGACAGGGACTCCTGCGAACCCTCTATCTATCTGTCCCTGAGTCATCTTCGTGAATTTTTTTTTCTCCGACCACACTTTGCCTTCATCTGACTAAGTGCTACTATTGATGCCTTGATGCCTTATCTCTCTTGGTCGTGAAGATGAGCATCTAAGGTTTCAGAAGAAGTCGCGTATCCTCATCTCGATGATTTCCTTTTCTCACTCTTATTCTTTTCTTGAATCGTGATTCTGTTGTGACCTTCACAGCCTTGTGATACTGCTCGTACTATCTTTATTACCATATCATGTCCGCGTCACGACCGGGGATGCGTCCCCCATTTCCTTCCAAAGCTGGCCCCCGGGCGCCAGTGGGACGTCTGGCTAGCTTGAAACCTCCGTCTTCTACGCAAATCAAGCGTCCTCAGTCAATCTCCCGGCCTCAGCCGACCCGGCCGACTACCCATCCTAAGACCACCACCTGCCCAAATCCCGGCTGTCCTGCGCCTCATATTGTCGAGGATGATGGCCAGAAAGTTTGTTCAGGATGTGGTACTGTTATCAGTGAAGCAAACATTGTTTCCGAAGTTACCTTTGGGGAATCCTCTTCCGGTGCCGCCGTCGTCCAAGGTACCTTTGTCGGAGAAGACCAATCTCACGTCCGCAGTTTCGGACCAGGCTTCCAGCGCGGTGGTGCGATGGAGAGTCGAGAGATCACAGAACAGAACGGTATGCTTCCATCCTTACCATCGCAGTGTCATGTACTCATCCACTAACGGCTTGTAGGCTCTCGTTATATTAACCAGCTGTCCCGGGCTCTCAATGTCCCGGAGAGTGCTATGAAAGCTGCCGGTCAGGTTTTTAAGCTCGCTGTGGGTCTAAACTTCATTCAAGGTCGTCGGACCAAAACTGTGGCCGCGGTATGCCTCTACATCGCCTGCCGTCGACAGGATGGCAACACGGTCATGCTGATCGATCTCGCCGATGTGCTCATGGTAAGCTCTCCTCATGACCCGTCTTTGTCTGGCATCACTTTTACATCATTGGAATGTTCACTAATGCATCTGTCAATAGATCAATGTGTTTAAGTTGGGACGGACGTACAAGGCCTTGTTGGATGAATTACGTCTCGGTGGCAACGTCTTCCTCATGAACCCTATTGATCCGGAGAGCTTAATATACCGGTTTGCCAAACAACTAGAGTTTGGGCCCTCCACCATGCAGGTCGCCAGTGAAGCTGTGCGGATCGTGCAGCGCATGAACCGCGATTGGATGACCACCGGCCGTCGTCCCGCAGGTATCTGCGGTGCTGCGCTAATCCTTGCGGCGCGGATGAACAACTTCCGTCGAACGGTCCGCGAGGTTGTCTACGTGGTCAAAGTCACGGAAATCACTATCAGTCAGCGCCTCAACGAGTTCAGTTCGACCGAGAGTGGGGAGTTGACTGTCGATCAATTCCGTTCTGTGCAGCTCGAGAATGCTCATGACCCACCGTCATTCACCCGCGCACGCGATGGCAGGAAGCCCTCGCGAAGTTTCACGAAACGAGGGGGTGCAGAGACCGCCGCGGAAATCGAGGGAGATCTACACGATGTCAACGCCACCGCCTCCAGCTCTCGTCAGGCGAGTCAGGCCAAGCGAGTGGATGCGGATGGCTTCGCCATCCCACCTCTTCCCATCGATCCTGCGTTGACCCCCACTGAAAGTGACCAACGACCGGAGAGGTCTGCTGTGGAGGAGCTCGTCGCAGAGATGGACGAGGAATCCGCCAGGGCCAAATCCGAGCGGGCTAAAGGTTCCAGGTCGAAACAGCTACCTGTCCCAAGTGCTGATCAGGTCGCCTCGGAGGAGGCTCTAGAGAATGAAATGACGGCATTACTCTCAAAGGGCTCGAACATGATCGAATCTACTGTGGAGCCAAAAAAGGTAGTGTCTGACAGCGCAGACATTGATGAAACGGAATTTGAGTCTGATCCGGAGGTCTCGAACTGTCTCCTATCCCCGGCCGAAGTGGAGATCAAGGAACGAATTTGGGTGCATGAGAACAAAGACTATCTTCGAACCCAGCAGGCAAAGGCGCTCAAACGAGCTTTGGCCGAAGCTGACTCGGGGCCTGGCATGCATAAACCCCGCAAGCGCCGTCGCGGCCGAATGGGCGATGTCACATACCTCGAGGGGGAGGGGGAGGACGGGGATGGTAGAAGCACGCGCGCCTCCACACCAGCCGAGGCCACCCGCCGGATGCTGGAACGGAGGGGTTTCAGTAAAAAGATCAACTATCGACTTCTGGAGTCCCTCTTTGGCGAAGAGGGCGCCGACGAAGCAGCCAAGGCCAAGGCAGAGAGCATGAGCCGCAGCCGCAGCCAGAGTGTGATTTCGCGACGTAGCGCCAGCATCGAGCCCGAGGCTGCATCGAAACGCGCTAGGATTGCCACTCCTGCTACGAGCTCCAAACCTGCTGGCTCTCCTGCCCCTCCTGGCCGTGTAGCCGCAGAGAAGCCGACTGGTGTGGGTGTGGGTGTTGATAAGCCCGAGCATACAGATGCCGGTGGTCCGGAACCTGGCACAACGGCGGAAGACAACGAGGAACCCGAGGATGACTACGACGAGGAGGATGACGAAGACGAGGCGGATGGAGATGATGGCCTCGATGCCGCGTTTGCCGGTCGATATGAGGAGGATTACTACGATGATTATTATGGGGACAGCGACTAGGTCAAGCACGCTATGGCGCCATGAGAACAGGTATCTGCAAGATCCCGGATGTTACTAGACAGGTACTTTGTGGTATGCGAGAATAAAGACTACTCTACTTGGCTTGGTCAAGACTCTTTCCTGCTTATCCGGACGTATGTAGATGCACATACCAGACACTATGCATGCATTTAGCTCTCAACAGAGAGAATCTCTATTTGTAAGAAGCGCTGATGCGACTGATGGAGCGGGGGTCAAGCATGCCCTAAGCAGTAACCCGACGAGGCGTCGTCGTGAGATGGTGATTACCCTTTTGGTACCTAATCCTCACGTGCTGAAAGTTTCACGCCTGAGGCAGGAGCAGCCGTGACTACATCCCTCTCCGGTTTCAACTACCTTGAGATCTTCCTCTTCGACATCAACTCCACCTCCTCCACACCCCGCATACTCCCTGGTTCTGTTTCACTCTGTGATCTGAACTACTGGATTCCTGAGCGTTATGCATAACCCCACTGCGGTGCGGTCATCCCAATCTAGCCAGAGCCTGAGCTCTGCCTACGAGCTCTAAAGGAAGTCCACGCTTCATATGAGAATGTGTGCCATTGCACCACTACCACCAGCTGCCTAAGGCAAGGGGGCTAGGATCTGATCCCTACTGGAGCCCGGAAAAATCTACTCAATACGTCCAGGTTGACGGGGCCTGGTCTGGGTAGAGTTTACGAGCTATGCAATATTTCCTCTCCGAGGCAAGAGCTATGTTCTCATTGACTCATGAAATACCCCTTATCGTCTCTATTGCTGGCCGGTTATCCGAGAAGTGGGGGTCATTCAGTCATTCGTCTTGGTTATCAGACCAGAGGAGAAATCATGAACTCCAGAATGGAAAGTTTCCCACTTCTTGGTCAGATCTGTGATTCCGTTTCGGCACTTCGGATGTCATCCCCGTGAAGACTGAACCTTGGCCTCCTTCATTGATATCATGCATCCGCTGATCTCGGAGAATGCTGGAAAGCAAGTCCGTCCGCGACTCAGAATGCATGAGGGTGGACGAATGGCATTGGCAAATGCCGTCCTTTTCCCGCCTGACTGTCCCTCCTTTATTCCCTTCTGCATCATGGCTGCGCTATTTCTCCGGCTGGTATGGAGGATCCCTCGATCTACAGGTTAGTATAGGCCTGGCCTTCTTTTCTATGATTTTATTTTTGGAAGGGAAAATAACTTTGTCCCCCAAAAAGGGCGCCCAAAAGCCCCATGGCGGGGATCTCTCATTCTCCCGGCGTTGGTTGAGAAGCCTTCTGCATTATCACAGACATAAGATACATGGTGGCTCCACTAGTATTCAATCACTCTTATATCATGTATGTATGTTTGCACTTTTGAGGATCAAACTTCGCAAACCTCCATTCCCTATATAAACTCTTGCAATCGGCCAATCTGGCTTCTCATCTTGTTCTCTTTCTACCTTCTCCAGCTTGTCCCTCATCGTTTGCGCCAGAAGCTTCAGGGAAAGAAGGATGGTCAAGCTGAACATGTACGGCCGGGGGCTTAGCCTCCGCATGGGTATCATGCTGACTTGCCAGATATCATTCGTTCTCTTCGGTGCGAAGCCTCTAGACCAGCATCCCCGTTGGTATATTCCAACTGACTGACTGCCCTGTGTCTTTCGATTGGGGCTCTATAGGTTACAACCAGGGTGTCTTTTCTGGAATCGTCGGCAATGAGAACTTTCTCGGTCTCGTTGGGCACCCCAGCTCTGCAGTTATTGGTATCATCGTGTCTATCTACAACCTGGGATGTGTCGCTGGCACAGCACTCGCTTTTATGGCTAGTGACAAGATAGGCTTTCGAAGGACAATGTGGTTCTCCATGGCCTGGATCTTGGTATGTATCGCTCTACATCGTCCCGGTTCGGTCCCAGCAGGCTTCAAAACGGCACTTTCGAGCCCGTTTCGCAGAGGTTCCTGGGCCGCTTCCCTTTTCCCGTCCAATCCTACACATCCCTAGTCATGTTGCCCACGGGATTATCCCTTACTCAAGAACGGTTAACCAACATTCCAATGCAGGTGGGAGCAACGGTCCAAACTTGCGCCTACTCCAAGGCGCAGCTCCTTGTCGCCCGCTTCGTGACGGGCATAGGCACCGGCATTATGAGCTCTGCGGTGCCCGTGTACCAATCGGAACTCTGCGATGCCCGGAAACGAGGAATGTACGTTTGTAGCCAGCCTTTGGCGATCGGCGTCGGCATCGTCGTATCCTATTGGTTTGATTATGGGATGAGCTTTGTCGAAGGCCCCGTGAACTGGCGGCTTCCCATAGCGTGCCAGCTTGTCTTTGTGGTGCTCGTGATCTTGATGGTATTTGGGTAGGTCCATTCTCGCTCTATCCTCATCCACTCTGTTGTACAATCTATCTTTTTCGCATCTGTGTGGCTTAGCTAGGGCTTTTGGCTAACGAGTCTCCGTCCCCGCCGGGGTGGTCCGCATCAAACAGTCTCCCAGAAAGTCCCCGATGGCTCTTTCGAGGAGGCCGGAATGAAGAGGGTATCCAGGTGCTGTGTGATGTCTATGACCGGGCCACCGACGATCCCAAGATCGTCCAGGACTGCCAGGGCATCTTCAAAGCCATCGAGGTGGACAACCTTCGTGGTGAGTACCGGTGGTCTCAGATCTTCAAGAAAGATGAGCTACACACGGGTCGACGCGTCCTGCTTGCGTATGGATTGCAGTTCATGAATCAGATGGGCGGAGTCAATGTGATTGTCTCGTATGTGACGACGGGTAGGTCGGCCTTTTGCTGTGTTAGGGTTTTCGGGAATCCAGACTGACCCAGTGGAATCCAGTGCTGGAGGTCAACGTTGGCATGGACAAGCAACTCAGTCTACTCCTGGGCGGAGCCATCCAGGTGATGTTTGTCATAGGTAAGTTGGGCTCGCTGTCGACCCCAGACTTGCTGCCATCCCCAGCCAGACCTGCTGATCACACGCAATTACACAAATGAACCAGGCTCGTTCTATCCCACTTTCTACTCGGATCGACTAGGCCGACGAAAGCCAATGATCTGGGGATCCATCGGCCTTTTCGTGTGTATGCTGATGATCTCCATTCTTTTGTCCTTCAAGGGTAAGTAGCTCTGCTCCCCGCCACCGGCTGATATGGAGCTCTGTCCCTCCCCAACATTTTCCCTCCGCATATTCCCCGGCTACTCGGGCTACTCGATCGAGGAAACCAGCACAAATTATAATTAATTCATGCCTTCGAAAAAAGAGCCCCGTGCTGACCAGATGGATCCCCAGGAACCCCCCAGCAGAAGCCCGCCGCCACCGCGTCGGTGGCATTCTTCTTCCTCTTCATGCTCATCTTCGGCGCCTCAATCAACTGCATACCGTGGGTGTACGGGCCGGAGCTTCTGCCTCTTCATGTGCGCGCAAAAGGGTGAGTGCGCTTGGGACCTCATCATCCGGGGGGAATTCCTGCTTCATTCCGAATGACCCGCACCCTTGTGCGCCCAAGCTAATCTCTCCCTAGACAAGCCATCGGAGTCTCGGCCAACTGGACGTGGAATTTCTTCGTGGCCATGATCGCCCCCTGCCTGATTGAGCAACTCGCGTGGAAGGGGTATCTGATTTTCATGGCTCTGAACCTGGCCTTTGTTCCGGTAAGCACTCGCCCTCGCTCTTGCCGTCCTCCGCATACCAGACCAGAGATCGGCGGCCTGCCCCGGCCATGTTCTGGTCTGATATGAAATAGGCGACGCGAACGCATCTCATCGAATCCATTGCATTGCTAATCCCCGCACAGCTCATCTACTTCTTCTACCCCGAGACGGCCAACCTCTCCCTCGAGCAGATCGACTTCTTGTTCACCGACAACAAGAGGCCGCAGGCATTCCACATGATCTCGTATGACCAGGCCGACGCGGAATGGAAGCAGCCCATTGTGCGTGAGACCGCGTAGTGTGCTGTGTGCCACGACACGATGCATCTGTGTTCTGCTCCTCTTCTCGGCTCCCACCGAAACGGCAGTACGCTGCGAGGGGGGTTACCGCCGTGGGTGTGTGAAACGGGCATTAGCAATGTCAGAGGTAAGGAGGATAGGCGGGCAGGATGGGGATATCTCTCGAGTGTAGCATCTGGTTTAGACATGGTTGTAATGGTCTTGTTTTACGCGGCGGGTTATGTTCGGCGGGGATTATTAAGGCATTGGAAGGATGGTGGGTGGTGGACTTAGATATAGTACTGATGTCTGATACGTTATGGTAGATAGCTCCGTCTCGATCACAGTATGAACATACAGACACATACAATATAGCAAGCAAGCAATGAAGAAGCGACTTTCCTTTCAACATGAAAATCTCTTTTTTATTCTCTTCGTCTTCATTCTTTTGTTCTTCGCCCCCCTCATTCCGGGGGATGTAATCAGATGCCGCCTGGTGGCGGGGAAACTTATCAACATGGGAAAATATAGGCAACCAAAAGAGAAAAAATAAAAATAAAGGAAAAAAAAAAAAAAAAGCAAAGACAAACCAAGCCCTACCAATCCATCCCAGCCATAGACATAGATATAAACCTATCCTGCACGTAAATCCCACCCCATCCACTTGCGCCATATAAAACAAGCAACCAAAAGCCAAGAGAGAAAGGAAAAAATCACAAACATGACAAGTCGGGTCAATTACGAGTCGAGCATAGAACCCTGAAGAAAGTGAGATACGGATGAACCGAAAGAAAGCAGTCGACGTCTCTCAAGTCCGCTTCCTGATCGCCGTCGAATATCGGGTCGGTCGGTTTCGGGTCGCGAGATGAAAGGAAATTGGCGCGGGTTTCTTTTCGTTACGCGTCGATCTCCATCCCATTACCCATTCCTACGCCTCCGTTCAGGCCCACGCCAATTCGGTCGATGGATGGCTTGGCGCTGAGGGTCTGTAAAAGTGGAAGACCGGAGTCGACGGGGTTCATCCCGAGGAGGTTCGGGGACGCCACCGCTGCAGCCGCATCCGAGGGGCGATCGGACGCGTTGAGCACCTGGGTGCCTTCGAACATGATGGGGTTGGCGCGCAGGTTCTGCACGCTGGTTTCCCACGAGGAGCCCACGAGTTGGGCCTGGGTGAGCTCGTCATTGAAGAGGTAGAACGCCGGACCGGAGGCCAGGCCGAGAGGGGTGACCGGTCGGGCCGCGACCAGGTAGGCGTTGAGGGCGCGATTCTTCATGAGGATCTGGCAGTCCGCGAGATAGGCGCTGAATTGGCGATCGATATACTTCTTCCAGCCGCGCACAGCAGCCGCCATGTCGGCATCGTCCATTGCGATCCGTTGCCAGCTGATTCCGAGGAGGCGGGTAGCGTCGTCGACGAGAGGTTCTCCGGGGGAGAAAGGGTTGGATCGGGTGGCGGAGTCGAGAATACGGCGGTTGTCGTCGTTGGCGGCATCTTGTCGGCGCTGAATCGAGGAGATGGTGATGTCGTCTAAGCTGGGGGCGGACGGATCGAGCCGCTGCGATTTACGGCCGGATTCCACGCGCTGGGGCTCGGGCTGAGACGGGACCGCAGCGGACGGCGGCGCGGGCGCGGAGGCCATGTTCTCTTCGTACCAGGTCCCCGTTTGGCTTTCGGCCGAGATAGCCATCTTGGTGCGCGGGTTCAGAAGGACCATGCCTTCGCCGTAGATGGGTTCCTCGGTCTGGGGCGCGGGAGGGGCCGGCGTCGACAGAGAAGGCATGCTGGGGCCATTGCGAGCTTCCTCAAAGTCTGCCTCTTCGCGCGAGCGTTTGCGAGAGGGCTTGGCTGTGATTGGGCCGGAGCCAGCCAGACCACCCGAGAAGGAAGAACTAGGGTGGAACCCATTGGCGAAGTACGCGGCGGAAGAAGCATCCGCTGCGACATCCATCTTGGACTGGCGCGGGTATTGAACGAAGGCGTGTTCCTGGGGAGGAGAGAGGACCATGGTCGGACCGTCGGCGAGGCCGTTCAAAAGCATTGGGCACATGGTGGTGAGAGCGGATCAGGTAGGTCGATCGGGAGGTAGGAAGAGAGACAGGACTGCGACTACGAGAGGAGTGATCTGCAGGGTCCAGTGAGCTAGAAACAACAAGCGAGAGCAACCTTGGGATCACGGGGATCCAAGCGAAAAGAAGGCGATGCGAAATGTCGCGAGACGGGCCGAGAGTGTCGCGTCACGCGGAGCTGGAGGAGGTGGAAGGGGAAGAGAAGACAAGGATAAGATATAAAGATGAAGAGAGATGTAATTGGGGAGGGAGGGAGGTAATGATGATTGACAGTAGAGAAGGTTGGAGAAGAGAGAGAGAGAGAGAGACAAGGGAGGAAGACACGGGAGCTGTCGAGAGGAGAGGTCGAAGAAGGGAGAAGAAGAGGAAGAGGAGAGAGAACGGAAGAAAGGCTGACGTGCAGATGGATGTAGTCCGTAAATGGATGGATTTGGAGGTGATGCGGAGAACGGAAGGGTTTGCCATCCTTACCGTACCATACACGCCGCCATGCGCGGTTGAGAGACGGTTTGGTGGTGCGTGACGGGTACGATACGGCCCGTACGGGACCAGATCGCCCTGCAAGGACGGCGCCATTATTGGCCGATGCAATCATCGCTCGGGGCAACCTGCAGGTGATCCTGCGCATCTGATTGGGCAATCCACACCCACCCGTCCGCGCGTCCCCAGTCTCATTGGCCCATCCAGCCCGAAGCTGAATCCGCCGCTCATTGGATGCCTCCACCCAGCTTCTCCAACCTTCAACCACCTGCACCTCCAAGGCGGTCGTCGTCAGATCGGATGGAAGCGTCAAGAAAAGTGGAACATTCAAATCAAGTCTCTATTTTGTTTAGAAGAAAACCAAAAGTTTATAGTAACAAGAAGGAATGGGGAAACAGTCAAAACGCAGGGCGAATCGAAGGAAACGGTGAAACGTCCAACACCGGGATCTCGTGCTAATGAAACATGACACGCAGGTAGATGTTCATCGATCAAGCAATGCATGCGCAAAGAAGTCTCCCACCATTCACACCATAAGCAAAACAAAAAGCTGGAACGGAAACGACCTCCAACGCGAGATCTTACACATAGTCGTATCAAACCCATCGAACGGGACCCCGCCATCGGTCAGGTCCAGCAGCATTTCCTGCATGAAGCCGAACCCAACAGCCGCGTCCGGTCCCCCACTTCTCCAAGAGGGTCCACAGGGAGAAGCATTATTTTAAATAAGCAATAGAAGGTGACAAGAAGAGGGTTATAAGAAGTCCAAGGGAGGAGGTATAGAAGGAGTGGAAAAGGCGTTAGGGGAAATCGTCTTGGTCGTGCAGAGTCGCACCCACCCCCGACTCCCGACGGGAGACGGCCCACTCGTCGGCGCTTCCTGTCGTTGGGGTGGCCGGATGGGAGGTAGGTTCGGTCGCGGGGAGGGCGGACTTGGAGATGGTGCCCCGGAGCGTAGATGCACGCCCTTAGGCATTGCCCGCGGTCGCACCACCCAGCATGCCCTTGACGCGGTCCACCGATCCAGGAGCGTAGCTGGGGGCCATCGAGCCGATGAGCAGGAAGAAGATGAGCGCGGCGGCACCGATGATGATGGACTTGCGCTTGGCGGGGTGGTTAGCACCATACTCGGCCCAGGCACGGTTCGCCTGGCCGGCGTAGTCCTTGATCTTGTCGCCACCAAGCTTGTAGTAGACGAGACCGCAGAGGGCAATCGAGTAACCGAAAAACTGGGTACCGGTGACGGGGGTCTGCCAGATCATCATGGAGGCAACGACAAGGAGAATATCCTTGAGGACACCGCAAAGGGTCATGACCAGGGAGGAAGTCTTGCCGATCTGTTGCCATGTTAGTTGGGTCCTGAAGATCTAGGGCCACCACCACTTACCAGGAAGACAACGGAGACGTTCAGCAGGAAGGCAACAACAGCGTTGAGCAGCAGAGTCCAGACACCTACATTGTAGATGTGACCCATGGTCATGTTGGGGACTTCCAGGAACAGAGCGGTGACACCGTTCATGACAGCGCAAACGGGAGCGAAGTAGTAGAGAGAGACCAGAGGGTCCATCTTGTACTCGGCAGAGCTGAGGAGGCGCTGCACCATGACCAAGCGAGTGGCTTCGAAGATGATACCACCGATCTGGAACAGGAAACCGATGAAAACGAACTTGATCTCACCGAAGGAGGCGATGATGACACCAACGACAATGACAGCGACGTTCATGAGCACCTTGAGGTTGACCGGGGCCATTCCCAGACCCCAGGTCGCGAACAGCACCGCGACGGGAGTGGTGGCCTTGAGCATCTGGATGAAGGCCACACTCAGGTACAGATAGGTCACATTACCACAAATCAAACTCAAGCTGAAGAAGATACCGATGGGAACAATGGCACGGAGGTACACACGGCCGGTCATTTTGACGGTCTTACGGCCGTCCAGCAGAGTAGTGGTGCGGGCCAGGACCTGGGTCATGAAGGTGGCGAACGCCAAATGCCATGTTGTCAGGACGATAGCTGGGAGGGGATTAGAAGCGACTCGGAGGGAGGGTATTATGGGAGGAAAGACATACGGAAACCTATAGAGTGCGATTAGCAAGAGTATTCCGATGGTTCAGCTGGGAGAATCGGCCAGGTTGCACTTACGGAATTGACCATAGTCCAGGATCTGCTTGTTGAACAGGATGACGCTGGAGCTCAGGGCGATCCAGACACTAATCCCTCGATCAGTACACGTCCCGATCACGCCCTATTCTCCTTCGCTGGGGATTTTACCTGACGTAGACGGCCGGGTGGAAGGTCGGCTTGGGAGGCTCCTCCACGGCGGGATTGACCGTAGGCAGAGTGGCCTCCGGACGAGAGACCTCACCGGAGGTTCTGACCTTTTCTCCTTCGTTGCTCATGGTGAATCTGCGTTGCTGGTCCGACAGGAAGCGTTGGAAATCGAAAGGGCGCGGCCGTAAAAGGCTGCTTTGACTGAACTGCGAGGAGGCCACGGGTGACGGTGGTGAAAGGAAAGGAAGCCGGAAAGTGGGAAGAGAAATAGGTCGATTAGTACTCCGAGAATGAGACGAATTATGGGACGGACCCGAAAGTCAACAGAAAAGAGTAGGTGGTAATGAACGAGTGAGAGTAGAGTTGGCCTAGACGAGTAAAAAAAGGAAGAATAAAATGGAACTGAAAAAACGGACAAGAAAGGAAAAAGAATTCTTTCAAGCAGAAAGGTGGTAGAGATGGAGAAGCATTGAAGAGAAGAAGAGGATGACGGAAATGGATGGGGTGGATGGGAACGAAGTACGTATATTTTTTTTTTCTTGTCCGGTAGGGGGGAAATGAATTCTGGGACGGAACCGGTAGGAGGAAGAGGGTAGGCGTAGGTACTAATTTAGGGGGAGGAATGATGGCAGTAGAGACCGGGGATCCGCACGACGGAGTGACGACGACTGAAGGGAGATCGTGACCCGGCATGAGAGATATCGTTCGCTCGACAGGGCCACCTAATCATCATCATAATAATAATAAATATAATAATAATAATCGGTATTATCATCATTCTTACGGAGTACACCTCTGGCCATAGCTCGGCATTCACCATTCACCATACTACCTGTATACATATAACCACTATCTACGAAGTACATAAATTATGTCTTTTCTCTTGTATATTTCTTTCTATACTTCATCCAGAATCACTCATCTGATACCAGATACAGTCTCCGGTATGCTCCCGCAAACAGCTCCCAGCCATGATAATTATAGCCCCAGTGGGGGATACACAACCCGCAACCAGCAATCGGCGCACTATAGTCAGGGTTATCGGGAGGGATGTGTTTTTGTTTTTTTTCTTCTTACCTGGTTATTATTATTTTCTTCCTGGTAAATTTACACTCAGACCCAGACTGGCGTTGAAACACGACCACTCAATCTGATGGGCGGTTTCGAAGTTCTGGCCGATACCGCCAGACCCTCTCTCACACGCCCTCTCTCCCCGCTGGGGCAAAAGGCGACGCGTGGTGGAGACCCTGATGGGCCACTATGGACTCCATCCGTGTACCTGGACTTACCGTAGATGGCATCGATCCACCGTCCACTCTCTGGTCCTGTATGGTCATCCGTACCACCTCCAGCTCCGTTCGCCAAGGTCTCTCCCCGATAATCACCGTTACGTATGTACCGTATCGTCTCGTGTTCATCTTCCTGAAGAGATCATTCCAATAACCTTCAAGATCTCACTATCACGTCTCCTTTCAGCTGTCCTTCAATTGGTTTGATGACCGTGGGATCCCTGTATCAATCCTCAGTGGATGATGCTCAGTGGGGCGAGGCAACTTGTCCATCAACTCGTTTGGTTCTCTTGTGCGTCTCTCGTGGCGAACAACACTACTGGCGGTTGGTGTCCATCTCCATGTCTCCACTTCCAGTGCCCCTATTCCGCTGGTTCTGATGATTCTTAGTCCTTTCTTGGTGTCAGGACAGAGATAATCCTCCGGGCTTTTATTTTATCCTAATTTAATTTTATCCTTTCTTGATCTAATTTTAATCTATCGTCCCGATATATTTTTCCGCTCATCACTTCAAAGTGCTTCCTCAAGATACTCAGAAAGATCAGAACCCTGAACCGTTTCTTACTTGTAAGAAAAAGAAGAAGAAAACGCACGGATAACCCTTACAAAGAAACACTAGCCCCGTCGAGGTGTTGATCAAAATTAAGACCACCTTGTTTGGTCCGACGTGCATTACGCAAGCAATGCCGGCCAAGTACTCATCTACCCGCGTTCGGCGGCCACTTGTCCATAGCGTCGTCGCAAAGGTCCCTTGCTGGTGGGGAATGCGGCGATCGGATGGCTAAAAGGCCTAACGCCATCACCGTGGCTCAATGGCGTTTTTAAAGAGATTCGACCTGCATCGCACTATCAGGGACTCTCCATGACCCACGAGGGTCCTGGCTTTTCTGGATGGACCACCCTCCCAGCCCCTCGTCCATATCTCTCGCCCTCCGCCAGTCGATGCCCCTTTGGGTGACAATAGAATTGTTCCCTGTTGATTCCATTTTTACTTCATTTTAAGCTCCTGTGTCTCCACGGTACGCCGTGGTAGCATCCGGTGAGACCATTTTTGGTGGTAGGGCGATGAGGTTAACGTGAGGAGGGGCCAAAGGGGGCCAGGAAAAAGAAAACCCTGGATACTGGCAACAAAAGCAAATGACGAGGAGCAGAGAAAAGCTTTTTCCCGGGGCCCCTTATTGGTGTGAGATTCCCCCATGGCGGCCTCAGTCTAACCCTGATAAACGTCTCGATGCGCTTCTGGAAGATGATTGACCTCCCCCGTTACCCTGCTGAGAAGGACAATCGGTGGGACACGCGGTCTCCGCTCCTCTCCATCGGCTCTCCGACCCTAACCAGTCTGATAGATCGGAAAGGGGATGATCGTCTGTCCGTCGTTGTCAATCCGCGACGGATCGTTCCTCTCTTACGTAGGCCCGCGATACGTCCAGTCGGATGAACGGCTCGCTGCCTGTGTCACGACTCTTCACTGTGCACGGGAAGAGTTGAAGCTGACGAGGCTTATCCTCAAGGGATTGATTACTCGGCAGACCCTGCGCATCCGCGAATGTACCTGTATGAAACTGACAACGTGCCCGAAGCTTGGACCGGGGAGACCCATCAACGGCGAGGGCGGATGGATCTATATTGAAGGAGATTATGCCTAGATTCCTCCACACCATATCTCTTCAAGTACTCCGGAGTACTCCGTAGCGAGGCGCTCGGCGTCCTCAGACGGCCGATCTCGTCTCGTGTCAGTCCAAGAGAGGGATGAAAGATCGAGAATGTTTCGATCAGAATGATAAAGAGGAAACCAGAGCACCGGATCCTCCCGCCATAGTCGCAGGCAGCCCGGTTTAGGAAATCAACAGTATCCGTCATGCCAGCCCCAACCCCTATTGATGCTCGCAGAAAGGGTCCAATCGATTAAGATTCGTTCGCATTCAGATTCAACCGAATGATAAGCAGTGCAAAGGGGGTCAACCAATCGCGAACAGCACCTGGTGCCCTGCTAAGTGGCAAGGATTGCCTTGACCATCATCCAGGGTAATACCTACAGAGGTACACGTAGAGGGATAGGCCGATGAGCGACAGAAAACGCCTCCCGACTCGAGAGTATCCAACTGACGAGCAGCTCCCGACCGAATGGCGCCAGGAACCGGCCATCAATGGTTCAATTCATATTTGCGGTGTCCTGTCCAGACCGTGGAATTTGAGTTTCTGGTTGGATCATTATTATCATGGAGCGGAATTGGTTCTTTTGGGGCAAGAGTGGATGGAGCCGGTCATAATCCCTAGGATTATTTTTGGAATTCTCTCGGTTTTCTGGGCTTTTGGCCCTTCCCCTTTTCCCTTTTCCAGGGACCGAATTGATTATTCCAGATTCGATTTAATTTAATTTCCTCGTAAGTACTTACCCTTTCTTAGGGCAGCCTCTTAATTTAATTTTAAAATTATTATTTTTCATTTAAAAAAAAAAAAAAAATCATTATTATTTTTTTTTTCGACCACAATTATTCGAGGACTAATCTTGAAACAGACAACTCCCCACAGCTTCCCTTTTGTCACGTTTCGTTTCCCGACCGGGTGCGATCAATACACCTGTACCTTTTTGACTCCTGCTCTTCCCTCACCGTTCTTTTCCCTTCTCCTCCCACTTCCTATCTTCCTCCCCTCGCTCCCCTCCCCCTCCCGTCTTTAAATACTGCAGTCGTCTGCAGCTTCATAGTTTTCTATGCTGAGCCTCGCCCGCAAGACATTGAATCGCGTTCCCAGCTTCCAGGATATCCTACAAGGCAGGATGACCCACCCCGACATGTAAGGAGCTCTCCTCCCTCCCCCCCAGTACCCCTCGCCATCAACACCATTACTGACAATGGCTTCCTACTTGACAGTTCCGTTGATGTGCTCGTCATTGGTGCAGGCCCAACTGGTTTGGGTGCTGCGAAGCGGTTGAACCAGATCGTACGACTCTCCGTGTCCTCCCCCGAATTGTAACGCGGGGCACCATACTGACGAGATGGTCCCTGCAGAACGGCCCCTCGTGGATGATTGTCGACAGCAACGAGACCCCCGGTGGTCTTGCTTCCACCGATGTCACCCCTGAAGGCTTTGTATGTATAATCCACTGCAATCGAGTGACGCGACTCCCAACTGACCGATCGTAGCTCTACGATGTCGGTGGCCACGTCATCTTCTCCCACTACAAGTACTTCGACGACTGCATCGACGAGGCTCTCCCCAAGGACGACGACTGGTACAGCCATCAGCGTATCTCCTACGTCCGGTGCCAGGGCCAATGGGTTCCCTACCCCTTCCAGAACAACATCTCCATGCTTCCTAAGGAGGAGCAGGTGAAGTGCATTGACGGCATGATCGATGCCGCTCTGGAGGCCCGCGTCGCCAACACCAAGCCCAAGAACTTCGACGAGTGGATCGTTCGCATGATGGGTACTGGTATTGCCGACCTGTTCATGAGACCTTACAACTACAAGGTCTGGGCTGTCCCCACCACCAAGGTGCGTTAATCCCAAGTCCCCCCTCAAATCGAATGGGCGGTGGCTAACGGTATGCTGCAGATGCAATGCGCTTGGCTCGGCGAGCGTGTCGCGGCCCCCAACCTCAAGGCTGTGACCACCAACGTGATCCTGAACAAGACCGCTGGTAACTGGGGTCCCAATGCTACCTTCCGCTTCCCTGCTCGTGGCGGTACCGGTGGTATCTGGATTGCCGTCGCCAACACTCTCCCCAAGGAGAAGACCCGCTTCGGTGAGAAGGGCCGTGTCACCAAGGTCAACGCCAAGAACAAGACCGTCCAGCTGGCGGACGGCACCACCGTCGGCTACAACAAGCTCGTGTCCACCATGTCTGTGGACTTCCTTGCTGAGCAGATGGGCGACCAGCAGCTGGTCAGCCTCACCAAGGAGCTCTTCTACTCCTCCACCCACGTCATCGGTGTTGGTATCCGTGGCAGCCGCCCCGAGAGAATCGGTGACAAGTGCTGGCTCTACTTCCCCGAGGACAACTGCCCCTTCTACCGTGCCACCATCTTCTCCAACTACTCTCCTTACAACCAGCCTGATGCTTCTAAGAAGCTTCCCACCATTCAGCTGGCTGATGGCTCCAAGCCTCAGAGCACCGAGGCCAAGGAGGGACCTTACTGGTCCATCATGCTGGAAGTTTCCGAGTCTTCCATGAAGCCCGTCAACTACGAGACTCTCCTTCAGGAGTCCATCCAGGGTCTCGTCAACACCGAGATGCTCCAGCCTGGTGATGAGATCGTCTCCACCTACCACCGCCGCTTCGACCACGGTTACCCCACTCCCTCCCTCGAGCGTGAGGGTGCCCTCACCCAGATCCTGCCTAAGCTCCAGGAGCTGGACATCTGGTCCCGTGGCCGCTTCGGCAGCTGGCGCTACGAGGTCGGTAACCAGGACCACTCGTTCATGCTTGGTGTCGAGGCCGTAGACAACATTGTCAACGGTGCTGTTGAGCTGACGCTCAACTACCCCGACTTTGTCAACGGCCGTCAGAACACCGAGCGCCGCCTGGTGGATGGTGCTCAGGTGTTCGCCAAGAACAAGGCTCAGCAGTAAAGCTGGGATCTATAGAGATGTGTCCAATTCTAATATTCAACGATCACGGAGGGGGTTCCAAAAAACATCAATTTTAGATATAAGATTCCGGACCAGGGTGTTTTTTTAATTTTCTTTTTCCTTTCTTTTGAAGCGACGTTTGGGAGATACTTTTTATTGCTGGCCTTTAGTCCTGGTGTGAACCATCAGCTTCGCTTCTTGATATCGTTGCTAGAATTATTTTTTTCCAAACAGAGAAACCTTGTTATAAGACTTGCTCGATTTGTCCGGATTTCTTACCGTTGTTCAAGATGTCGATGATACATGCATCAGCGTTGTGATTTCCAACCCTTCCTGCCTGGCATAGTCACGGTTTCATGCAGGGGTTTGGCGTTTCGGCTTGGAAACAGGGTGTGAGGGATATAGATTCGTTGGACTAGCATAACGAGCGTTATGACAAGACTAGAATGTAACTCGATCCACTGCCAACGCATGCTCCTGAGTTTCAGCGGAGCAGATACTCCGTAGAAATGACGATGATTGACACGACAAGAGCAGGTGATAGCAAACCGGCCGCTCTGAAAGGGCAGATAGGAACTCATCTGAAACTGATAGACGAGATCGTCGGTGATCAACCATCCCAACCACGGCCCTCGCGGACGGAACACATGGCATTTCCGCCGAAGCGAACCTCTGCATCCTTGCTCTGTCCGTGATCTTCACTCGCGCCAGTAAGGCTGAGACATTTGTTCCACCCAATCATGGGTGGTCACGGACTGCGTGGGGAGGGCGTTACGGCCGCATTATTCCTCCGTGTCAATGATTACCCATTCGGTGTATGCTTACCTTTGGGGGATATGGAGTCGCTGCGGGTTGTACTAGCGGGGCTATCATTGATGGGGTTACGTGTGCCTGTACTTAATGTGTCCAGCTGGGAGAATCGTGGTGATCGGAAGCGGCCGATTGAGATGTTAGATGGCGTTGTTTATATATCCAGATGCAAATACGAGGGTATGATGCGTACTCCGCATGATTTTCTACCGTGATCTAACTATATCTGTGATGAGTACTCATCTGAGATCAGCAATATATATCAGTGCTGTGTCCAAGTCCAAGGCATGGGTTATACTCCTGTGTGGTGCTCACCAGATGGCTCTACATGGTAACGGCTCCAGTGCCCTACTCCGGACGCAATGGGCTCCGTCCAAAGTTGGGCGAGGCAATAATCTCCGCGGGAGAGCAGATGATTGTCTAATACGCTCGAAAGGGGTTTCTATGGAACTGCAATCTTGGAGATTTCCACGAATTGTCGGTGGCGGGGAAAGACCCTAGTTATGCGCGGTCTTCTAGACAGCCTATACCTAGTTTTGCTCTAGTTGAGGTTGGCCACACCAGGCAAGAAAGTTCTATATTAACATTAAATCTGCAACTTTATCTGTACACTATTTATACAAACTCTAGTCTACTTTGCACTCTCGCGGGCGCAACCCAGGAGCAAGCACTACCACAATAGACATTCCGGTTACCATTCCCCAGACATCAGATGTCTCTCATCCGATGATCTTGCCCATGTCGGCGCGCGTAATACCGTCGCCTCTGGCCCAGGGACATTGGCGAGCGAGAATGCTGCTATGATAGAACTTCTATCAACCTAAAAGAGGGTTACTCGGTGGATGCAGGCCTCCTGGTCCGAGAACGATTGGATACTGGTTCAGTGGTTCGACGAGAATGAGTGCTCCTGGTACTGTTAGCTAGGGTAATAAGCTGGTCAACTAAAATAAAGATAATAAAAAGAGACCAGTTCATACTAAAGGTACCTCCAGGTCTGAGTCGACACGGCGTCAAAGGGTGGAAAAGCAATGAGAAGAGTCGTCCACCTTCTCGAGGCAGGCGAGGAGACCATCTATAGGTACGGAGTACCAAGTGAACTATCCTATACGACTGCAGTACAGTCAAGACATACAACAATCTGCATGTGCTGTCTGCGTGCAGCGCAGAATCAATCTACGTAGTTCCATGCAGCAAGATCAATGACTGCGCCTCTTCCACGTGTCATTTCGATCATCTCCAAAGCAGAGCCTCGACCGTGCCTCATGTCTCAGTGGACACATAAACAAGAGGGAGATTGCGATCTGGGCCGGTGGAGAAAACCGGAAATCAATAGTTTGTTTCATTTGGAGATACTACTACTGCGTAGGCCCCATTTGAAACTCTCGGAGATTGATATCAGAGAATTCGCAGTATTTGGAAATCAGCCCGATGGGACCTTGAGAATCACCAGTAATGGAAGCACTTCACCGACTTGCTGCGTACGTACGGAGTACAGGTAGTTATGTGTTCGGTGCGTGGACCTCGATTATTCAGCCGCACAGGACGCGTCAACTATGGAGCTCCCGATGTAAGAATAGCACAGTATGATGTCGTCGTTGGACATGGACCGACTAGCAATAACATTGAATCATGGTTGACTGTCCTTGCGATCTCCTGATTTCTTTCCAGTCAAAGCATGGTAGTGCGGGTGACCTGGATTACTCCGGTAGAATGCCGGGAGATGGACCACTTAGGAGCATACAATCCTCAAAAAGAACCTGCTCTCGTGCACTTGGTTAACTCTGCTGCCTGCATCTCTCCCATTCCGACTCAGCGAAACCAACCGAAACACAGGAAAAGAAGCCGACCATGTCATCAATCTCGTGTACATCCATCGTCCTACAACGGCATCTATTCTTGGACGACCCAATGACAAAGTGAAACCGATCAGAGACAGGCAAGGGTTCTGGAAGCTTGGCAGTCTATCTACCCGCAACTTCAAGCTTCTTTCTCCGCATTTATTCGGGGACGGTGCGGCGCGGATACCACCGTCCAAACGGTTTCCTTCGCAATGTGTTCAGGCAGTACCCGTCAATATCTTCGTCGGGGGCGAGATGAGTCTCACCGCCCAATCGGGTAGTCTGATTCTGAACACTTCCGGCTTGGTCCATGGTAACATCCTGCTTTTGAGTGTCCCAGGCACATATCAGTGACCAAGCCATTGGCAACGTCCGGAGAGTCACGCACCTTCTTTGACTCAAAATGGGCCCCATGCAGAGCATGACGAACAGTGCATCCGCTTTCTTTCTGTCTTCCTTGGGTGGACATGGCATGCTCGGATACAATCTGGGTGTTGTGGGGCGTGTTGTGCGTGTTGGTGGATGTGTTGGAGAAGGCATTGGTCTGACCAAAGCAACTGCTAGGTTAGCAAACCATACATTGGGGAGCAGAACAAGACATTCACTTGGATAGAGTTTACTTCAGAGCTGGGTGACAGGCCTCTGATGAACTTATCTTGATGCGCCTGGCTGTGGTACTCCGACTTTGGTGGAGAATCTATAGTCAACAGATCGTAAATGTTGCTGCGCTTACCAGTCGGGGAGCAGCTAGCATTGGCGGTTGAGCTTGCTTGCATGTTGACAGGTGTCCATCCTGAAGGGGCCATTGCGTGGAGTTGGCGCGTGGTCTCTTTGTGCAGGAGATTGCCCAACGGAGAGTAGATGGGCCGTGTGAAGAAGAGGCGGAGTTGAGTGCTGTCACCCAGAGGGGCATCAGGATCGAGAGATTCTGGCATATCGTGGTTAGCTTCGTCTGAACCAAGTGTTCGACCAGAGGCTCTGGGAGCGATACCAAGTTGCCTTTGATGGGTTTGGTGCCAGCTGTCACGCAACAGAATCTTCCTAGCCGAGAAGACAGATGGCAGAGAGAAGTCTGATGGGGTTGGGGGTCGTTGACACGAAGATGTCAGAGGATGTTGAGCACACGGATATCCTGGCTTCGTGAGGGAGTTTCTCAGCCCTTTATAGGCCGTGTTGAGAGCGGTTTTCCACATATCCAGCGACAAGGAGATGTCAGGTATCGGTTGATGCAATGAGACGTTTGTATAGTTCTGTGCGACCCGTAGTGAAAGGCGATGTTGATTTATACGCCCGGATGCTTCATCCTTTCTTTGTGATGTGCTGTGAATGCTCTCTGGTGAGTTGTGCTCATGCCCCTTGTCCAATTGGAAGTCGATAGGCGCCTCTGTCTGCGATATCCCATCAGACAGTCGTAATCCAAGTGAAGGCTGACCAGCTCCTTCTTCATGCAGCCCGCTCCATTGTCGAGAAGATGGAAGGTCATGGTCTGGTTCACTATCACTGTTAAACTTGGAGCTGGTTGGAGAGAAGTAGTACGGTGAGAAGCTATCAGGATCCAAAAAGGCATCATTATGGCCTTCATCTTCGTCATCGTCCTCATCGCTGCTGGCTGGATGCCATGGAACAATACGAGCGTAGTTGTAACGAAATCTTTCCAGGTGGAAGAGGAGGTCTTCTGGGCCTAGAGCGATAGCGGTTGGCTTGTATCGAATCATGATGTGTATAGTACGTAAACAGTGAGATAGGAGATGCGTTGGTTAGAGGGGATAGTTTGCATTCACTACAACCTGTTCTGCTTGGTTTCTACAGGAATAAGGACAGCTGAAGGAAGGAATCACTGCGCATTTTGGCGCACTTTCTTCTTTGGCGGTCTAGTGCCAGATCTATATTTGGACGCCAGATAGTGGCATACTTGCGTATACTTCTCTCCAGCTCATCAGAACCGCCACGATGATCATTCTCATACAGCTTCAGAGGACAAAATAAAACAGACTAAATCCCCATCATCTTTTAATTAAAACCAGAAAAGAGCCCCATTCACTAGGCAGAGGACGTGGTCATCCATAGGTTATTCTTAGTACGGTGTCTCTCCGCCTTGGGACAAGCCCCCCCCCAGAGATCCTCAGGCTCCCACTCACTCACTCACCACCACCACCACCACCACCACTTCTTCTTCTCTTCTCCTCCTTCACAGCCTCTTTTTCTCTTCCTTTCTTTCTCCCTCTTCCCTCTCCCTTTCTCCTCCTCTCTCCCTCACACCTTCATCGTCACCTTTAATTCCATCACATACCATCTACTCTCGATCTCCCCTCCTGGTTGGATATACCATGCATTGTCCGCTGCTCCCCCGACCGCCGCCATAGTCCGTCGGCCACGCCCCTCTATCAAACCCACCCAACAACCTCCCCCCCCATCTTACGCCT